AAAAAAAAAAATTTTTTTTTAGACAGAGTTTCAAGTTATCACCCTCCCTAGCATGGAGTGGCATCATAGCTCACAGCAACCTCTAACTCTTGGGCATGATGCCATGGCACTCTACCCAGGGCGATAGCTTGAGGCTCCGTCTCAAAAAAAAAAAAAAAAACTAGAAAAAATAGCCGGGCATTGTGGTAGGGGCATCTGTAGTCCTAGCTACTTGGGAGACTGAGGCAGGAGGATTGCTTCAGCCCACGAGTTTGAGGTTGCTGTGAGCAAGGCTGAGGTGATGGCACTCTAGCCTGGGCAACAGAGTGAGACTCTTATCTCCCCCCCCCCCCAAAAAAAATTAGAATGAAATGACTTCAATTTTTACAGGTATAATTATCCAGGCTAACGCATTATCTCCGGGTTTAACGTATATTTGAAGACTATAAATTTGTAGTACAGAGTTATGTTTCCTAAACAAAAGAGCTTTACTTTAACCACACAATGTCAAGCCATTTAATTTCCTCCATAAATTATTTCCCTCAAATTGTAAAACACTTTTGTTGCTCTCTTTTGGACTTTTGATTTGTTTACTTATTTCTCTGTGTTACTTAATACAGGGAATAAATCCTGCATACATTACCCTGACAAACACTAAGCTCACTGGAGGATAATACTTGATGGCAAACTTAGATTATAGTTATGTTTAAACAACAAGGACAAAACAAATCTTCACTTCAATTACTGTTTTATATTCAGATTCCTTTTTTGAGAAAATACAGAAACATGTAGCTTTGATTCTATAAGTGAGAATTAGTAAATTCATAGTAACTCCCTGTGTGAAAATCGTTCTGTGGAAATAAATTACTTATTCATTAATTTCTTCCAAGGCTTGAAAGAATCTCATGGTAAATAATCTCCTATGACCTGAGATTCTGGAAAACTTTTAATTGCTGAAAGACTATTCCCATAAAAGAGAATTATTTCTGTTTCTACCTGATTCAAGAGTTAAGTATCTGTGAAATCATACTCTCAGCGCTAACTTTTAGGTAGAACCACAAAGAGACTACTGAATAAAGATTGTGTTAAAGAGATTACTTTCTAAAGGGCCTTAGGATAGCCTCCAAACACTTTTCTTCATGTTATAAAGAAAACTATCCCAGTAGGCAACTACCAATATGCTAAATATAAGCCTGACTTTCTGGTAGGCTATCTAGGCAAAAGAGAGGTAAAATTCTTCATAATAAATCCATCACTATATGGATTTAGACATACAATTGGGCAAATCACTTCTCAAATGAAATATATCAAGTAAAATAAGGTCCTATAATATATATTATGAAATCAGCCTATAAAGCAGATACTTGTCTAATGCTCGATACTTAGTAAAGAAAATGTTTACCAAAAAAAAAAAAAAAAAAAAAAAAGGATATATACCTATGGAATCTAAAGTAGACCAATATTTTAAAATTAAGTGCAAAGTTTAATCATATATATGTATATAAATATATACATATATACATATTCCACTAAAATTGTATAACATATAAAACTATACCATTAAAAAAGAGGGAAACCCCCCCAGAAATAACCTTGAATATTCAACAATATTTACTTAGACTTTGGGCCATTTTCAATGCCATTTACCTCCCCACAACCACAAGCCCATGTTCCCACTCTACTTGCTCTAGGTGCCCTGGCCTCTGTCTCCATCAAAAGGAAGAATCAAATAATGATACATTTAAGAGGAAACTGGAGTATCAGTTATTTCACAAATATTACACATTATTTTGTGACAATCTTTTGGTTCAAAATGATTTTAATTACTAATGAGAATATGAAGAGGTTAATGGCTTTAAATCCACCAAAGATTAGCAAGTGAACTAAAATTACTTTAAACAAAAGTTTTACAAAGCTCCTGTTTCCATTGTCTTAAAAATATAATTCACTTAAGAAATACCTCATTTTTATAACTTTTTTTTTTTTAAGAGGCAGAGTCTCACTTTGTCACCCTCAGTAGAGTGCCATGGCACCACAACTCACAGCAACCTGGGTTGCTGTGAATCTCTTGGGCTTAGGCGAATCTCTTGCCTCAGCCTCCTGAGTAGCTGGGACTATAGGCACCCACCACAATGCCTGGCTATTTTTTTGTTGTTGCATTTTGGCTGGGGCTGGACTTGAACCCGCCACCCTCAGTATATGGGGCCAGCACCCTACTTACTGAGCCACAGGTGCTGCCTTATAACTTTTTAAACCTAATGTCAACAACTAGTTCAACCTTTTACATAACAGCTATTAGCAGAGCCCTGCAAAAACATCATTCTATCTTTAAGATTCATGGTTCTCAAATTTTAGTGTGAATCAGAATCACCTAAAGGACTTACTAAAATAAAGGTTGCTGGGCCCCCAAATTCAGTAGGTCTGGCTCTGGCCTAGAATTTCTATTTTTAATGCGTCGCCAAGTGATGTTAATGTTGTAGGTTCAGGGGCTGTACTTTGGAAAGTGTCTGCTGTAGGGAGACTGCTCCACACAAAGCTCTTATGGTCTGTTCAGTGGTATTTAAGCTACAACAATGCAGTAGAAGCTAAATAATACAGTGCTACTTTAGTGTTTAAAAAATTGAGAATACTCTGGAAAATACCATGGTCAAGTCCCTATTGTACTTCATTACCAGGTCAAATACACAGATGGTTCTTATGAACTGCAGTGTTGGCCTGGGGTACTGAATGTTTTAAGTGATCTCCCATACTTGACTGTTGGCAGTTTTAAAAGATCATGGAGAAGTTTCTCTCTAGTAGCCTATAACAACAAGTAGCCTATAGGAACCACTGATCACTGCAAATTTATTTGCCATATTCCATGGTGCTTATCAAAAAACAAATACTGTATTGCATTAACTAAACTGTCCATAATTTACAATGGCATCAAGTAGTAGCAACAGTATTAACAGTGGTCAAGATCCAGGTCAAAAGTATTTACAGGTGTTTTTGTGGTGTGAAAATACGAATCACAGAAATTAAATACTAATATACTAGAAATAAAACACAAAACAAAAAGCAGGATCATGTAGGAAATTCACTATAGGATCATCTATACTAAACAACTTACACATAATAGAAGGGATAATTGTAAAGCATATGCACTCAAGCTTTGTAAATGTTAAAAAGCAACCAATGAAAATGTCTAAATCCACTCAGCTGACAGATGGGGGTAGCATATTATACTTCCAACTCAATATTTATTACCAATATAGAGAGGTTACCTGACTACTAGTTTCACTTATGGCTTCTAGGAGTTTCTCCACTGCTGCTTGTAGTCGAGAGCTAATGTTCAGCATAAATTCTTCACTTTCAGGGTCTATTTCAGTTCCAGCAAAACCACTCCTCACAAGCCGTTGGGACAACTCTGTTCCTTCTTCAGTTACTTTTGACCACATGCTAGTATCATTTCTTGGCATATCACTTCCAGAATAAGAGGATATGGATTCATCTGTTTTAAGAATAACAGTATTTTAAAGCCATATATTAATTATAACTAATAATTTTAATTTTAAAAGAATTCCAAAATAAAATAAAATTAAAAATTGAAATCATGGAAATAATAAGGGACTTGAATAGAAACTTGTCTGAAGAAGATAGGAGCACACCCTATAGACGCATGAAAAAATACTCATCATCCTTAATTATCAGAGAAATGCAAATCAAAACCACTTTGAGATATTATCTAACTCCAGTAAGATTAGCCCACATCACAAAATCCCATAACCATAGATGTTGGCGTGGATGTGGAGAAAAGGGGACACTTCTGCATGGCTGGTGGGAATGCAAACCAACACATTCCTTTCGGAAAGAAGTTTGGAGATTACTTAGGGATCTCAAAATAGACCTGCCATGTAATCTTGCAATTCCTCTACTACATATCTATCCAGAAGACCAAAAATCACTTTATAACAAAGATATTTGCACCAGAATGATTATTGCAGCCCAATTTCTAATTGCTAAGTCATGGAAGAAGCCCAACTGCCCATCAACCCATGAATGGATTAATAAATTGTGGTATATGTATACCATGGAATATTATACAGCCTTAAAAAAGATGGAGACTTTACCTCTTTTATGTTTACATGGATGGAGCTGGAACATATTCTTCTTAGCAAAGTATCTCAAGAATGGAAGAAAAAGTATCCAATGTACTCAGCCTAATATGAAACCAATTTATAAACACCCATACTTCCATAGGAAAGCTATAACCCAACTACAGCCCAAGATGAAGGGGAAAGAGGAGGAGGAGGGGGGAGGAGAGGGCAAGGGGAAGGATGGGTGGAGGAGGGAGGATAATTGGTGGGACCACACCTATGGTGCATTTTACAAGGGTACATGTTAGATCTACTAAGTGTAGAATATAAATGTCTTAACACAATAAGAAAATGAGGTGAACCAGTTTGATGAAAGTGTTTCAAAATGTATATAAAACCAGCACATTGTACCCCATAATTGCATTAATGTACATAGCTATGATTTAATAAAAAAAAAAAGTCTTTTAAAACCAGCATTACAACAACAACAAAAAATACACTCACACAGAATGGACTATTATTCAAGAACCAAGTAAGAATGAAGAGAATAATGCTACGCTAACAGGACTTTGTAGGAATTAATATTTGGGTTATTTAGAGCTTTTTTCTTTCACACAAACTTTTTTTTTTGGACACAAACTTTTATGACAACATTCAACAGATATTTACTAAGTGTCCGCTATGTAGAGTTTGATAAGTAACAGGGACATACAGGTGATCAGATTTGGTACTTATCCTCAAGAACTTTAAAGTATGACGAACACACGATACATAAACAACCAAGAAAAAGGAAGACACTGTGCAATGGGATGTTCTAGGGATAAGAAAGGCTAAAATAAGTGCATGAATTTGTCTGGAACAGACTGATTTTTAAGTACTACACTGCACTCTCCTTACATAGTAAAAGGGACTAAGATCCTTTCGTAGCTTACTACTTTTGTAAGAAGTATGCTGGGAAAAGATTAGACTGGTGAACAGTTCTAATTTAACTTTGGACACTGTTAGCTACAGTATGCACACGAGCTTAGATAAGCAGAAGATTGTATCTGTAAGTATTTTCTCAAATTTAAAATAAAAACATAAAGATCATCCATCACTGCCATGGAATATTCATCTGTGGTAGCATGGTATAACCTAGTAATAAAATTTCCTGAAGAGAAATGAATAAATTGATTATTCAATTCAATAATCTTAGAATAGCCAGTTTGGTAAATAGAATCAATTCAAATTGGTAAACCATTCAAATCTATGTCTCAAACATAGTAAGTGATGGTTATTCAAGTTCTTTAGTCATTTACTTTACATCATGTTCATTTCCTGGTAACAATAAGCTTCTCAGATTAAAGTAGGATGGGCTAGACGTTGTCTTTACAACTTCTAAGAGGATCTTCAGAAGTCTGTTACTAGCGTTCTGGAAGACAGAGTCTTCCCTGCCCCAGTGGCCCTCTGAAAATCTCTACAGCTCCAATTGGAAACTAGTGGGCTCTAGTTTGACCCTACTATCTGACAGTTGGGAAAACTGTACAAAGTCCTGGGAGACTTAAGAGATTTGCCCACGGTCACAGTGAGCCAGAAAAAAACCCAAGGCCTTCTGATTTCTAAGTCATTTTTCTTTCTAAAACCACATTGCAAGAAAAGAGATTTGGTCTTTCAACCCCCCATGGAGGAGGTGAGCATTCTATCACTGAACCATCACAGTGCAAAATCAAAGGAAATTTTCTTTCAGCATAACCGATCTAATCCTCACTCAGGTTCAAATGATCTCACACTGGCTCAAAATCTCCCTTTAATTTCATAAACAAGTTTGCCTTTTATGAGCAAACAAATATTAGCAAATCAATTTTTTTAAGTGTTCACAAGTCCATACATGTTTAAAATCTAAACAAGTTCAGACTTGAAGGCTGAAGATGGATTACAAGTGTTAAAAGAGAAAGTTATATACACAATCTGAAAGGCAGAAATCACTTTATAATCAGATCAAGAAAAATTTTTGTTATATTAAATAAAACATAAATATTTCAAAAGGATACTTTAGTTTTTAATAGTAATGTTTGCACTAAAAATAAGATGGGATGTCATCAAAAATTCTTAAATATGGAGCACAGTATTAGTATATTAAAGCCAGTATTTTTTTCAAGGTTTAAGGAAAAAATTTAAAGTTTTAAATTGTAAACTCAAATATATCCTTTAAGGTGCAAGATAGGTCTAATAAGTGTCCCTCAATGATATTAGTGGCTATCTTAATTTTATTAGTAACCCTAAAACACCATTGTTCAACATAAAGACATAAAGATTGAGTTCATTAAATGGAAGTGTGCATTATAACCAATGATGCTAATCCCAGCAAATTCTCTCTGCTATAATATTCTATATATTATATTTCTCAACTGTGTATTCAATTTTTCCTTTTTAATCTTAATTATTCTTCTTCAGAATTGGTCAACAGTTAAATAATTAAAATTTTAAAAGGCTTAGTTGTTCAAATATACCTAAGGTGATTTTAAGCAAAGTATGTGTATTAAGTATTATGACTTTATCTTGACTTGAGTTGAACTCTCTAGAGCTTCTTGCCACAAAGCAGAGTGCATAGAGAAATTACTCAATTTTTGTAAAACTGAACTGATAATAAACAATTCTATTATTGGATATCTTAAAATACTATATAGACATACTTCATCAATATTGGCAGATTTAGATATAACTATGCAAGAAAGTACTAGTGCATCAGATGTTTTTTTAGGTCTGCTTTTTCTCAGAAAGTGAACATAAACATAATCCTCTGTGCTTGAGTTAAAATTACCAACTATGAGGACATTGCTTTGGAAATGGGTCCATTGTATTAAGAAATGATGTTTGCTCAATATTTCAGCAATTGTTTTGAGAAGTATCTAAGAGAACTGCTAACAAAAAGGCACAAAGTATTTTTGTAATCTACAGAAAACTCCTCAGAACATCTTTTGAATATGGGAATCAACCTGGTCTTAGGTCTTATCAGTAGAGCAGCACAATGTGTGATGACAGCCCTATGACACCCACCCTCTTGCAAATGCTATACAGTAACAGTGTTTGAGGAGAATGCCTCTAATGTATTTGTGTTTAGAGGTCTAGTTGTTGGAAAATATTTGAATACCTTCCCTTTTATAATTTCAACACATAGCAAAGTGCCGCCAATTCAGCAAGATGAGTTGAAGATGATTGTTTCTAAAGCATATAAAACTAGTACCTCCTGTGTGTTCCTCATGGACACTTGACTTTATAGAAGCCTCTGCTTCTGATCTCCACATTAGGGTGGCAGACGACTGGCCTTTACCAGATCTGTCTAGAATCCCAAGAACATGGCGACCAATTGTTTCTTCCACAGCTGCTGTTGTCTTTACAACCTCTAAAAGGATCTTCAGAAGTCTGTTATTAGCTTTCTGGAGTGCATACCTGTAAAAAAACATTTATTAAAATGTTTAATTTTTTTAAAAGCACACAGCATTTTATGTTACACAAAGAATGTACTACAAAATATTTTATGAAAAATAGCATATGATCCTCTTTGTTAAAATAATATGTAATAGCACCTGTAACAAAATTCTTCTTGTTTTTGGCTTATTTTATAACTATATTATAAAATGATTTGTTTACTTCTAAAACTTTTGGCCAATCAGTTTAACTACATCATTTTTTAAAAAATGTGCAGCATTTAATTGACCTGAAAGAAATAAAATAACTCAACTTTTAAGTTAGTAATCAGGTTAGAAGAAAATTTTATGAAAATTTAAGTTTTTATTAAACTTAAAAAATAAGCTAAAAAATTTAAGTTTGTATTAAAAAGTATAGTACCACCAAAGCATTTGTAAGTTATTGAGCTGGTTATACTGTTCATGGTTATTCAAATCTGTTTTGCACATTTAATTTTTTTATGTATCAAACATAAAAACAAATTTTAAAACATAATTTTAAAATCTCACCAGAATAAAATACGTGGTTGTATTTCTACAGCTTAATGGTGATGAATTGGACACTTAAATTACAAAAAGTGATAGGCAGAGAGAGACCTGTTTTTAAAAAGGTCCATAGTGAAATTTCACTGTCTGCCAACACCAGAGAGATATCACAGGTCGTTTTATATTACTTCTGATCCAGAGACAGAACTGTCTCAAGTTACAGCACACTCATTTCACCTAGTAGAAGAAATCTATTTTCAACTAAACAGAATTAATGTTACGTCTCTTTTTGAAAATACATTCTTATTTTTTAAAAATTAGAATTAGTACTACTAATTTTTAAAAAATTAGTAGTTAGTACTACTAACTACCCACCAAAAAACCTCAGCACTCAATTAGTGCAACGTTGTAACTGCTGTATTTCTAGACTTTCTACCTGTTTCATAAATATGTATTTTTTAAAAATAAAATCATTCTGAACATAGTATTTTTGTACATTTTCTTTTCAGCTTAACATGAACATTTTGCTTCTCATGAAAGGTACTTGCATAAGTGATGATTCTGAGAATTCCCTGATTAGTTTTCTAAAGAACTAAATAACTCTCTTGTCCTAACAGTAAAGTTAGCTCAACAAAGGTACTAAATCAGCAAACTCCACACTTTACAAATGTAGACAAAATCAGAGACTATTGTGGTAAAAATCCTCTGCCTTAAGACAGTTAACTCCACACTGTAGATGACTAACAATCAGGTTAAGGATATCTGTTGTCACAGGCACATGACACATCTATTTTAAGACAGATAATAAATGGAGAAGTTTTCCTTTCCTATTTGTCAAGTGAAATAGTTCTATTTTTGTACTCAGATCAAGTTCTCAGCTTATATAATCAAGAATACTAAAAATATAACTCTAAATAATTTTGTTAGAAGGAAGTCAAATGTTCTATTTTCTGAACTTTTTCTGGGGTTTCATTCAAGCCTCAAGCCCTAAGCCCTAGAGTAAGAATGATGTAAAAATATTTCTACTTAGAAAAATGGTTAAAGTTAATATGATGGTAAAAAAAAATAAAGAATACTCATCTTATCAGCACTCACTATCAAAATTCCTAAAAACTAAATACTGTGTAATTTCCAATATATACCAATTAGAAATAAATAAATATAAAATAAACACACTGTTTATTTTATATTGCCATGATAACTCTAATTTTCGTACACTGTCTTTCTTGTTTGAGTTCCATACTGACTGCGTTCCATACTGATGATCCAATGGGGAAGCCAAAATCTTAGGGGCCAAATTCCTCCATGCAAGCTGAGGAAGGAGGTTAGGAGGACACAAGAGGGTTGACAGTCACAGAGATTGGAAAAGGAGGAAATTAAGTTAGTAAATAATAGTTTTAACTTAAAGAAATTACCTTCATTTGAACAAAATAAATTTAAAAATATTGTGCTTTAAGTCCTTAATATTAATGTGGGCTAACTATTCTCATTTAATACTTTATAGTTACCTCTGAAAATCAAAATAAGGAGAAGCTTTATTAACATTGGGTAATTAATTTTTTCCTTTATAAAACTAGGCTATGGATTAAAAGTTATCATGTTATGCAGTGAATGAAAGAAGCTAAATGTGAAATATTTACAGTTATAACTTTTTTCCTCAGCATAAACAAACTACGAGATAGCTTACACTGAGTACATGTTCATACAGTGAAGGTATAAAATAAGGAAAGAGAAGGACTAAAGTGGACAAGTAGAATTGTGTTTTTAGCTACAAAATGGCATATAAGAATAAAATTAATCCAGAAAGTTTCAATATCCAAATACCTTAACATTTAAAGTATGTGATTAATATCCACTCAAAAATTACATTATATATAAAAGATTTGTTAAAAAAAGAGATCAAACATTGATAATCCTTTATATATTACACATACATGGACATGTTGAGTACACATATAGTATGAGGATTGTTAAGACAAAGTATAAACATACGAGATAAAAATAAGGACAAATAAAATTTATTACATTGAAACAACCATTTTAGTTTACTTTGGTCATCTGGTATACCTTTCATTGGACAGAATATCAGGAGGCAGATCTTCAGGTTTTCTGTCCAATTCCTTTTCTTTAAATGTCTGTTCCTCGACTTCCTCTTGGTTTTCACTTTCATTCTGTTTAAGTTTGTGTAAAGGTAGAGAGGAGAAGACAGAAAGAAAACCTGTCATCTTGGAAGTAGCATGTCATTCTTCTATATTGGCATAAGGTAAAACAGAAACTCCTTTGCACAAAATTGATACTGTTCAAAATAATATTTAACTACATCTTATCAGGAGATTAGCATTATCTAAAAAAGATAAAACATTCTAGTACACAGATGAAAAAAATTTTAATGAGTTCAAACTAATGCATGCTATGGTGCAACAATAAACTTTGTTAGCTTGCTGCTTGGGGAAACAACAGCTGCTGCTATAGCAACGCCAGATTCAAATTACCCTAAATGGAACAGAAGATATTTTGACTCCACCTACCTTCCCTGTAAGCAATCACAAATATGTTAAGTTCAATAAGTATAAAAAACAAAAAAAACAACAACTCACACCATCAACAAAGACAAACACATCCTACTGAATTGTTGATCCATGGCTCCTAAGTGGGCCAAAGTCCATACTACCTGTGTTTGCGTACTGCTGTTGCGCAGCTCACAACACAGCTTCTCTCTTCCAGCTAAAGACAGCTGCTTTAGTGCTTCCAGCTCCTCTAAAAGCACCCTCTCTCTCTCTGAAACCAGGTTTTCATTATCTATGGAAGATCTCTAAATAAGAAAAAAGGTCATGAGAGAATATTGTTTGCGATAGAAGAAGAGAGCAGAAACAAGCAGATTTCTTTTAACCCCTGGGACCAACAGGCCCTGGTGCTACCTGTGATTTATATTACACTACAAGGGGTTAAAAGCATGTAAAAAGTTCAATGCAAAAATTGAAACTTTTCAAAATATCTAATTAAGCCTAATCAGAAATTTGTGCAAGTCAATTAATGTGTTTTGGTTTTTTTTTTTTCCCTTTTTGAGACTGAGTCTCACTCTGTCACCCTGGTAGAGTGCCATGGTGTTGTCATAGCTCACAGCAACCTCCAACTCTTGGGCTTGAGTGATCCTCTTGCCTCAGCCTCCTGAGTAGCTGGGATTACAGGCGTCTGCCATGCCACTCAGTAATTTTTCTATTTTTAGGAGAGATGGGGTCTCGCTCTGCTCAGGCTGGTATGAAACTCCTGAGCTCAAGCAATCCACCCACCTCACTCGGCCTCCCAGAGTGCTAGGATTACATCTGTAAGCTACCATGCCAGGCCTCAATTAATATTTTAATGTCAATTTTGCATTGAAACATTAAGAAGTTTGAATTTACAAAATGCAATGAAGAAAAGCAAAATTAGTTTTTCAAAAAGGTGTTTCATGCTCAACTCCCAATTTTCCTATTAATTTATACTTGAAGAAATATATAAACAATTCTTCATCTCATATGCCTGTTTTTATCTTTAGTTTTCAATACATTTGTTTTCAAAAATCTTTTACATGAATATTTCTTGCTTTTCTGCAAAGATTTTGTGAGTATTATTTTATATAGCTATTGATAAGAATCCAGTTCCCACATACCAAGTAGTATTTAAATTTAGTTAAGAAGGGGATTAAGAACATTATATGAATTTGCATTTCTCAAATCAAGAAGAGATGTTTCCATGGAGAAAGTTCCAGAAACATACTACTTCATCAGCTTTCCATTCATGATTAAAAAGATGAATTAAAGAGAGATAAAGGTAAACCTCAGAGATGCTAACTGGTAGACTCACAAAACTATCAATGAATACAGGAATATTGAATGATAGCAAGTGGAGCACCATACTGGAGCACCTCCGCACAAAGTAAGTCCACATTTTCGAAGAGCTTTTGCTGTATATGGTCAATGAAATGACTTTAAAAAAAATTAACCTTGCAGTCACTTTTCCAGTGCCTGAAAAGCTAGTTAAATAAAATGATAGAGAGCCAATGCACACTTCAAGACTGAATTAGGTGTTCTTAATTAGAGTGTGTCCTGATGTTAAAAATATTGCAGTTTATTTAGATCTTGGCAAAATAATTTTTTTTTTAAACAGTCTCACTTTGTTGCCCTGGGTAGAGCCCTGTGGCATCGTAGCTCACAGCAACCTCAAACTCATGGGCTCAAGTGATTCTCTTGCGTCAGCCTCCTGAAAAGCTGGGACTACAGGTGCCTGCCACAACTCCCAGCTATTTTTAGAAATGGGGGTCTCGCTCTGGCTCTGGCTGGTCTTAAACCTGTGAGCTCAGGCAATCCACCCGTGTTGGCCTCCCAGGGCTAAGATTATAGAATAAAAAGACTTTTTTAAAAGCTACACGAAGAATACTGCTACTTTAATTGAGGAGAAAAGGAACTCTAAGTCCCATACCTGGGCTAATTGTCTATTAAGTCTCTTAATCTCTTCCTGTAACTGCTCCTGGTCCTCTCGCTGTCGCTCCATCTGCCGCATGTGTGCCTGCCTTAATAGTTCTGTTGCCTGTTGATGTTCTTCATATTGTCGTACAAGCTCCTGTCTCATATCTTCCAGCTGCTCTTCATTTACTGTTAGCCGTCTAGAAGGATCCATGCTTGGCATCGTAATTTCATCACGGATCTTTAATAGTAAAAAGAAAAAAAATTCAACCACAACACATTTTGTGGAAAGCTGCCAGCATTGATATTTAAATTTTCTAAAAGGTATTCTTCTTAATTATAATTCCAAAATGATATGGAGTTAGTTTATTGTTATTATGTGTTATTTTCCAAAAGTAAGAGAGCTATTATCAATTAACTTAGACTAATCTAATTCTAAGAGAGGAGAAGAAAAAATAAAGACATCCTAGATTCTGTCTACTCTGAATGAAGCTATAACTCTATTATTCTTCTTGACATCTTATGACGGAAAAATAATATAAATGGAGTATTGCTATTTTAAAATTAAGTTTATGAAACAAGAAATTTTTCCTATATAATTTATAGTGTGCAGTGGTTATCACAGTGCAACAGAAAATAGCTTGATAAAAAATAATTTTCAATAAATTTTGTTTGGAAATAAAGGCTTTCCAGTTCTCATAAGAAATCAATTCCTCATCTAGTTCTGTGAGTACTTCAATTTCTGAAGAGAAATTAAACAATGATTCTGCTGTCAGGAGTTGCTGGCAAATTAAAGAGGTTTTCATGAACATGTCACAAATTTGGCATCCCATAATGAGCTGACAGAATAAACCTCTGAATAAGACATAACCTATCCTGAACATTAATAAAAAATTTTAATTTGCATAATATTAAAAGAAATAGGATTTATTAAACTTTCTGTAAAAGGCAGCAAATCGTTGACATATAGACACAGAACAGACTTTCCATTAATGAATAAAGTAAAGGAAAAGAGAACTGGTATAAAGACAGTAAAATGCTTTAATCTGTCTTCTTAAATGGTAGGTATTTCCCTGTAATGTTGTTATATTTAATTAGGCAAATCATTTATTTACAGATATTGCTATATTGTAGTATAATTAATTTTGAATTGGTTGAAAAAACTGAGGTAGATAAAACTTACAATGAGAGGTACCATGTACAATGTATTTAAGATAAACCAGAATACTATGAACCAGACTTGTTTTATTTAATATTAAATCACTTATCCATATTTATTATAATTAATAAAACATTAATAATGTGAATTATAAGACTGAATTTGATACTTTCCTCCTCTATTAAGCAGCACTAACTGATAATATTTTACAGAGAAGGAAGTCATACTTTTTTATGTCTTTAATATTAAGGAGGCATACTTACAGATTCTCTGACTATAAATGTTTTATCTTTGTAGAGTATTTCTTCTGAAATAGTCAGTTCATGGTCCTTTGATTCCAGCATATCATCAGGATCATCATTATTTGATAACAGAACTTTCTTTCCATCTTCTCCTAACTCCTTACTAAGTGGCTTAAATTCTTCTTTAAATTTCACATCCATTGCCTCAAAAGTCTGAAAACCAACTTGACCCTGCGATAATTTCATCACATTAAAATAAAGTGGTTCTTCCTGCTTGCAGAGACGATGTACTTGTTTTGATGATGTAGTGTTTTCTTTACCCCCAGATATTCTAGACAGTTCAGTTTGTTGAGCAAATGCTATACTCATTGATACAATGACCTAAGAAATAAAGCAAACAGAAAAGGATTAGATTTATAAATACTAGCAGGAATTTTAAAAGTCACTACTCAAAATTGTATGAATTAGGAAAAAAGCATGGCCTCAGTAATTAGCAACTCCATTCTTCTAGTTACTCAGGTCAAATAACCTAGGTGAGCTCTTACCCACTTCTCCTGTATTTCTTTCTACTATAGCTGGTTACATTTGCCATGGAGATACATCTGCCTGGGATTTCACAATATTTCACCAAACAAGTCCCATGAATGTAGGGGTTGCAGGACTGAATCAAACTATTTTCCAGCTCAGCACAGCTAATAGCTGGTGTAAGCAGCCTTCATGATTTCTGGTCAAGTCTCCTTTCCACCTCTTAGGGACATCTGGCAATTCTTGACTTTTTCTCTTGCTCTCCTGACTTTCTCTTTTCTACTGGCCTGAAGATAAAGGTCCCCAAGCTAATTATCTCCACTCCTTCACTTCTTTCAGGATTCTCCTCTCATGTCACTTTGAAAGTGAAGCCTTCCATGATGATCCCATATAAAGCAACGCCATCTCACTCCCCATGGATACCTAGTCTTTATTCCCCTGCTCGGTTTTTCTTCACAGTACTTATCACCATCACTATGGTGTCTAACTATACCAACTAGAATGTAAGGTCTATAGGAGCAAAGCTTTCATTTTCTCTTTTCTCTGCTATACTTCAGCACCCAGAACACTGCCTAATAGTGAAATGTAAACAAATGTTTATTTTCAGTGGTATGCACCCAAATCACAGGAGAAATCTAATGTCCTCTACATTGGGAATCAATGTACTCTTTTTTTAATTATTATTGTTGAGGACTCATTGAGGGTACAGAGAACCAGGTTACACTGATTGCTTTTGTTAGATAAGGACCCTGTTATAATTGTGTCCCACCCCTAAAGGTATACTCACCTTGTCCCCCCACCCCTCCCTTCTTCCCTATTTCAGCTCTCCCCATCCCCCACACCCCACCGTGTACTAGGACCTTAATTGTCCTCATATCAGAATTGAGTACATAGGATTCTTATTTCTCCATTCTTGTGATGCTTTACTAAGAATAATGTGTTCCACATCCATCCAGGTTAATACAAAAGATGTAGTCTCCATCTTTTTTAGTAGCTGAATAGTATTCCATGGTGTATATATATCACAGCTTGTTAATCTATTCCTGAGTTGGTGGGCATTTAGGCTGTTTCCACATTTTGGCCGTTGTAAATTGAGCTGCAATAAACAGTCTAGAGCAAGTGTCCCTATGGTAAAATGATTTTCTGTCTTCTGGGTAGATGCCCAGCAACAGGATTGCAGGATCAAATGGGAGGTCTAGTTTGAGTCCTTTGAGGGTTCTCCATACTGCCTTCCAAAAAGGTTGTATATTAGTTTGCAGTCCCACCGGCAGTGTAAATATGATTCAAAGTATGCAAATATCCTTTTCCAATGTGTAGGTTTCTGCTTGCTTTGGCTGTTGTCACCTTAGCTATACAGAAGCTTTCAGTTTCATTAAGTCCTATTTGTTTAGTTTTGTTGTTTTTGCGATTACTACAGAAGTCTTCCTCATAAAGTCCTTCCCCAAGCTGACAGCTTCCAGTGTTTTCCCTACACGTTGAGGATTTTAATTGTTTTGTGCCTTAGATTTAGTCTTTTATCCATCTTGAATCAATTTTTTTGAGTGGAGAAAGGTATGGGTCCAGTTTCAGTCTTTACAATATCCAGCTCCCCCAGCACCATTTATTGAATAGGGATTCTTTCCCCCAGTGTGTGTTCTTGTTTGGTTTATCAAACATTAAGTGGCTATAAGATATTTGTTTCATCTCCTGGTTCTCTATTAGGTTCCAAATGTCTATGTCTCTATTTTTGTGCCAATATCATGCTGTTCTGATCACTATGGCCTTATAGTACAGAGCCTAAAGTCCGGTATGCTTTGTTTTTATTACTAAGAATTGCCTTGGCTACCATGGGGTTTTTTTGGTTCCATATAAAATGAAAAATTATTTTTTCCAAGTCCTGAAAGTATCATGTTGGTATTTTAATAGGGATGGCACTGAATCTGTAGATTGCTTTGGGAAGTAAAGACATTTTAACAATGTTGATTCTTCCCAGCCATGAACATGGTATGTTCTTCCATTTGTTAATATCTTTTGCTATTTCTTTTCTTAGGGGTTCGTATTTTTCTTTATAGAGGTCCTTCACCTCTTTTGTGAGGTATATTCCTAGATATTTCACTTTCTTTGAAGCTACTGATAAGGGTTTTGTGTCTCTGATTTCCTTCTCAGCTTGGCTGTTATTGGCATACACAAAGGCTACTGATTTGTGGACATTGATTTTGTATCCTGATCCACTGCTGTATTTTTTGATCACTACCAGGAGTCTTATGGTTGAGTCTCTGGGGTTCTCTAAATATCAAATCATATCATCAGCAAAGAAGGAGAGTTTCACTTCCTCTGCCCCCATTTTGATGTCTTTAATTTCCTTCTCTTGCCTGATGGTATTGGCTAGAACTTCCAGCACTATGTTGAATGGCAGTGGTGATAGAGGACAGCCTTGTCTTGTTCCAGACCTAAGTGGAAAAGCTTTTGATTTTACTCCATTCAGTGTAATATTAGCTGTGGGTTTGTCATAAATAGCTTTGATAAGTTTAAGAAATGTGCCGCCAATGCCTATATTCTTCAGCGTTCTAATTAGGAAAGGATGTTGAACTTTATCAAATGCCTTTTCTGCACCTATTGAGAGAATCATATGGTCTTTGTTTTTGCTCCTATTGATAAGGTGAATTATGTTTATGGATTTGTGTATGTTTAACCAGCCTTGCATCCCTGGGATGAATCCCACTTGATCGTGATGCATGACTTTTTAAATGATAAGCTGTAATCTACTGGTTAGGATTTTATTGAGAATTTTTGCATCTGTATTCATTAGTGAAATTGGTCTGAAGTTCTCCTATTTATTTATTTATTTGTTTATTTCGAGACAGAGTCTCAAGCTGTCGTCCTGGGTAGAGTGTCATGGCATCACAGCTCACAGCAACCTCAAACTCTTGGGCTTAAGCCTCAAGAGTTATCTTGCCTCAGCCTTCCAAGTAGCTGGGAGTACAGGCGACTGCCACAATGCCTGGCTATTTTTTTTTTTTTTTTGTAGTTGCCATCGCTGTTTTTTAGCTGTCCCGGTTCAAACCTGCCAGTGTCGGTGTATGTGGCCAGTGCCATACCCACTGAGCTACGGGTGCCGCCCTGAAATTCTCCTTTCTAGTTAGGTCTTTTCCCGGTTTTGGTACCAGGGTGATGGTTGCTTCATAGAACGTTTTGGGGAAGATTCCTTCCTCTTCAATTTTTTGGAATAATTTCTGCAGTATGGGTATAAGCTCTTTTGGAATCATTACTCTTACTGGGCTTTTTCTATATAACTTATGCTTTTAGAAAAATGGTTCTCAATCTTATTCTAACATCGTATCTGAGGAGTAATAGAATTAATCTGAGCATAATCCCAGCAGTATTGGGAACTAATGTCAATAACCTATATTATTATGGACCAAGCTGGGCCATCAAATGTTGTCCCTTGGACCATAGTAACTTAGCTGTCTTCAGAATAGTTTTTACTGCATTTTGTTGCTTTATTATCAGTTTGAATGAACAATACTTTACAAAAGATCTTTAAGTTACCACTATTATTATAGTAATAAGACTATTATGAAAATGTTATTTATTTATGAGTCTTTACTATGTATCAACTGATCTGCTAGGTGCTTTATATGCATTAGCTCATTAACTCCTTACAAGAATTACTACTATTCCTATTATTCTCCTCTTTTAACATACAGCAAATACATTAAGAAGTCAACTAACTTTCCTAAGGTCACAAATCTAGAAAGACATAATAAAGTATAATATATCCAATATCAAACCTCACATTAGGCTCGGCGTCTGTGGCTCAAGCAGCTAAGGCGCCAGCCACATACACCTAAGGTGGCGGGTTCGAGTCCCTAGCCCGGGCCTGCCAAACAACGATGGCTGCAACCAAAAAAAAAAATGGCCGGGCGTTGTGGCGGGCGCCTGTAGTCCCAGCTACTTGGGAGGCTGAGGCAGGAGACTCGCTTGAGCCCAGGAGTTGGAGGTTGCTGTGAGCATGATGCCATGGCACTCTACCCAGGGGGATAGCTTGAGGCTCCGTCTCAAAAACAAAAACAAAAACAAAAAAAAACCCCTCACATTAATTACTATACTATGACTCCCTGATAGAACATTCCAATTGAGAAATCTATGTAAGAGCTACATGCAAGAGAAAACTTGCATTCCTCTAAGAACTAGACATTTGAGAGCCAGATATAAACGAGATGGTGTTTTACTTCAGTCTTCATAAACTAAACATTCAGCTCAGATATAAGTGAACAAATCCTTATGGCCCAGAGATAATTCCTTAGGTCTTGACCTCTTTGTCTAACTTATGTTTTCCCTAATTTATTATGCATTTCCTTTATATCCTATCAATCAATTCTCCCCTTTAAAAATGTATATACTCTACTAGGATTGGTTATTGAACCAGATGACATATTATAAAAAAAATAAGTAGACAAACTCATAATTCAACAGTTCCAATATTAAAATCCAATCATAGGGCTATAGCTCAGGGGTAGAGCATCTGACTGCAAAACCCTATCCAGGTGTATGTATTTTGAAAGGAAATACAAAGACTAAAGAAATGGTACCATAATGGTACTCTAGGTTATATAGTTGATATTCTAGAGTTTTATATTTAGGAATTTAAAAGAATGACACTGGGTATAGCAGGTAAGGATACAGAGATGAGCAAAACTCGCACTGATAATCTCTACTGAGTTAGGAGCTAATGTTCAGTGGTAATCTTCCCTTAGCCCTTTAGTCATTATTGAATATTACAGGAAAAGTTCTTGAGCGAAACTAGGCAAAGGTAATATATAAGGACCAACCACCTATTTTTCCCCCTCACTCTCTGCCACTTCTACGGAAGACCAAATTCTTTCACACAAGGTAACAAATATATAAAGATTTGTTTTGGCATTCTGAAAAGTTTCTAATTACTATTCCACATTGAGAGAAGAATGTTATTCTCAAAAATTCACAGAACATTTCACTGAAAGGCACTTGTAGTTGATACCATTATCTAACAACTTAAAGATGTAATATAAATCAAAATTTATAACTAAAGACCATGCTATCAATTAAAATTTATGTTTTTTGAAGGCTCAAGGGAAAACAAAATAGGATAATCTTCCAAATAAACTGTAAACTTACCTTAGCTACTTCTTCTTCTAATCGTTCTTGGTACTGTTTTTCCAGCAATTTAACTGTATTTGTTTCCTGTTTCACTCCAAATTCATCAGAAAACTAAATTAAAAAGCAAAATATGGCATTTATCATTTACCTACACGAATTATATACCATTTATTTTTAAACTTCCACTCTCAAAATATCACTGTTTCTTAGAGAACTTTAGGATAATTTCACAAAAAATAAATGTTGGTCTTGTTTCTCTTTTTTTTTTTCTCTGCAGAAATTGTATTTTTTAAATTAAATCATGGCTGTGTACATTAATGCAATCATGGGGTACAGTGTGCTGGTTTTATATACAATTTGAAATATTTTCACCAAACTGGTTAACATAGCCTACATGGCATTTTCTTAGTTATTGTGTTAAGACATTTATATTCTACATTTAGAAAGATTCACATGTACCCTTATAAGATGGACCAAGGTGTGGTCCCACCAATCACCCTCCCTCCACCCAGCCTCCCTGCTCTCCTCCCCTCCCTCTCCCTCTTCCACTTATTCTTGGGCTAGCTTTCATATGAAAGCTATTAGTTTCATAGTAGGGCTGAGTACATTGGATACTTTTTCTTCCATTCTTGAGATACTGTGCTAAGATGATGATGTTCCAGCTCTATCCACGTAAACTCAGTCTTGTTTCTTAATTAAAAATAATTCTAGTGAGTAACTCTACTAAATAATTACACTTACCACCATGAACTTAATAATTAAAAAAGCAATGAAAAAAATATATTTACATATTTCAACATTACTAACATATAGTTCTAGGGTGGGATAAGGATGATTAAATATAACTAATTAAATATATGTATATATTTCCATTTAATAAAATGTTATTAGTAGTTATCTTTGCTAATGAAATCACAAGCAAATTTTCTTTTCTTTTTGGTGCTTATGAAGAGTATCCAATATTCTAGAACTACAAATAACTTTTATTAATTTGTAATAGAAAAAAAATCATAAACTTTATTTTTTTGAGACAGGGTCTCACCACTCCACCACATCATAGGCTCAAACAATGCACCTGCCTCAACTTCCCAACTAGCTGAGACTAGAGGAGCATGACACTCTGCCCAGGTAATTAAAAAAAAGTTTTTGTAGAGACGGGGTATGTAGGTGTTTAGCTATGTTTCTCAGGCTGGTCTGAAACTTATAGCCCAGGCCTGAGCTACAATGCTCATCTTAAGGGCTTTTCAAAACTGTAAAGATGTTCTCAGTATGAAAATATTTATTTATTTACCAATTATGTAAATTTCATCCAAGCAAATATTCCATATGAAATGAATGTTGATGAATAAGGCTTGTGACTAACATCTCTCCCCTGTACCCAGAACGGAAGGCAATGATCTCTATTATAGCTGGGACTTAAGGGCTAAAAATCTACAAAGTAAACACCAGGTTTAGCAGGTTTGAGAAGAGTTGTGGATATGAGAAACTGGGAGTAATACAATGCTAAGAAAAGGCAGAGGGTGGTTTAATTAGATGACTCGCACTGTAAACGATGTAGATCTTTTATTTATCATACCGACCCCACTGGAAGAGGCCTAATCCATTATCCCAGCCCTAGCATTTGCGTCCTGTGGATTCCTAAACACTAGCGATGGCCTGGTCCAACTTCCCACGGTGGGAAGAAAAAGCTATGCTTTTCTTTTATGGGAATATATACAGCCCATAAATGTTATACAAAAACAATGCAATTTTAAACTGTGACATATTTAGGAGAAAGATGCCTCAAATTTAACTTTCTCTGTGATTTTCCTAGGCCACGAAAATACACTTAGTTTCTTTACTTACATAGTTGGGTTTTTTATATAAGGTATTACCCTCTTATTTATTATGCTTACTTCTCAGCAACTACTTATTTGATAACTGGTAAATCGTACACAACAGTAATAGTAAGAAAAACTAAATCGGAGTTGGTAACATTTTAAAGATCAAAAATAAAATACCTCTATTGTACCATCAATATTCTCTTTTAGACAACTTCCAGGATACATTTTCCTCTGTGTATCAGATTCTGTAATTACCACTGAATCAATGGAGAAGCTAAATATAAATAAAAGAGAGTGCAAGAATTAATGTGTGCTTTGCTGTTCATCCAAAATTGATACTGTGCACAAAATGTATTCAAGGGCAGGGGAAACAAAAATTGATAAGGCAAGGGTTATGAGTATATAACTGAAATCATATTTTTAACTAATTTTTCTACTTAAAAGTAATACAACTGAATGATAGTATTTTAACAGATCACTAAATGAGTTACAGGCCATTTTAGAAAGTCTACTATAAATGTATGACATGAACCTATTTATAGGTACTAACATTTTTAAAAAGTTGAGATACATTATTAAGAAAAAGTCTGTAAAATTTCACTTTTATTTAAAAACTTGTTTTAACATATACACATAAACATAGCAAAAAGTCTGATTTTTTTCTATAAGTACACATCAGTAGTAACATGATTAGTTAGTGCAACTGGAGACCAGTGCTGGTAAAGAAAGAAGCTTAATGTACACACAGTCACTTCTGGTCTTTTCTGTTTTTAATCTATGCACCTATCTTTTAGTATTCATGGCTGTATTTTGTGTTGTTTTACATGCATTCACTATACATTCACTACTTTATAAAAAAATGCTTAACTTGGGTCATAAAAATAAGATTAGTGTTTAGGAATTGTGAGAAAAGTTATAAAGAGCAAGATTTACTTTTCATTTTTGGCAAATATTATTTCTCATGCCCATTTTCGTGCGCAACCACGCTGCCTTCTTCACTCCATTCTCCTCTTTTCCACATGCTCTTCCTTCTATTCTCTTCTACAATTCCCACTCTGTCCCCAACTGGCCAGAGACAAGTTATATCACCGTCCCCTTTCATAACTTACATCACTAATCCCACCGATGAACATTTGCTTGTTTCCAAATGTTTACATTATAACCTTATAATACAGATCCTCGCAAATATATCTTTATACACTTCCATGGATGTTTTCACGTGATAAAATCTTACATTTATTAATCTGAGTATTTAAAATTTTAATACTTTTTAATACTACAAGGTTAGGCCAATTTTATTCCTATAACAGTATTAAGTATTTTCTCAAAATGTCAGCATAAGGGGTCATAACAATCTTAAAACTTTGCTAGAACATGTATGTCTTTAGTTTTGAGATTATACTTTCTTTCAAATGCTATCAGCCATGTAAGTGTTTCTGCTGTAAACTGCCTTATCACTCTATATGTCCATCCCATGTTTCTAAATACTCATTCCTTTCTCTCACTCATGGCTCTCCCTCCCATTTCCTAGTTCTTCTATCATTTTCACCATTCTGTCTCTGTTCTCCTCACTGTCCCTTGCATATACTATCCTGATCCCTGGTTTTATGTCTTGGATGTTATTTTTACAGCCTAGAAAACCCCCCTGATCATCTATCCAGCTATTATGATCCAAAAAGCATGTATCACATAGTCCACAATGACTTCATTCTGTAAACTTTATAGCATTTGAAGTGTTTACCCCAAATTGACAAAACAGTCTGGCTAAAATAGAATTCAATGTTGCTCTCTTACAATTCCTCCTTCCCCACCCTCTGCTTATTTCCCTATTTATGTTAATGTACCGTCATTCTCCATATTCCCTAGGCTCAAAGGCAGAGACATCTTTGACAGTCCCTCTGCTTTGTTCCCAACATTCCTTCCATTACACTGCCTCAATATTCACCTTTCTTTTCCATATCTCTGGTGTTACTCCTACAGGCAGTCTTGTGTGAACAGAAATGTTCAGTGAAAAATCCCACAGATGTGCATTTGACCCACTGATGCTAGAGGTTAAAATTGTGAATTTTTGCATGAATTTTTGACAGGCTCCCAACACATCAATATCTGTAGCAGTGACTAACTCTGTGCACCATGTACTAACAGGTGCCCTCAGGAGGCAGACGAGTGTGAAAAATCAGAGCAGCAGGCCATAGCTCCCAAGTCACTGAGAAAGGATGCAAAGAAAGGGGCTTCGAGAGGGACGGGAGGGAAGCCTGGCCTGCAGAACCAGGATGTCTGGAGGGTCCACAGGATCATTCACCACTCAATAAATAGTTTTCCCCTCAAAAGGGAAAAGAATGTGGACATGATTGTGGATTGATTACCTAGGTAATCAATGACCAACAGAAAAGGGCAATGATGCCTGGAGGTGCAGGGATGGAAAGATAACCTATTTCAAACTGAGGGGAAGAGGCATTTACGCCTCCCTGCTGCCCTCATGTGTGTCTCTCTCACCTCTTCTCCTTTATGAGAGGGAGCCACTCCCCACTCTCTGTGGAAGTGTTCTAAACTTTTCCTTTGTTCTTAAATAAAACTTTTCTTTGTTACACTGAGACTTGTGCAAGTTTCCTTTATTTTCTATTCAGCCTGCAGTGTGGGGCTCCAGTTTTATTTTCAGTTTTCTCTCAATTTTGCTTTTGATTACCGTTGTATCTCAGTGGAACTTTCTGGCTCAGCTGAGTAACTGAATCAGGTCAACTGGATTTGGAAAACTGACTCCCAGTAGTCACTATAATTCCAACAATTGAAGATGAGGCATAAATGGGTTTAATTCCATCAGTTTGGTTATATCACTATGTTATATTCTCTAACCACTATCTTTTAAAAGCTATTTTGTGAATAATTATTTAAATGATTAAACTGAAGTCCCTGGATGGAAAGGGTCATTTTATATACACCTAATTTTTTCTCCGTGTTATACAGCCAAGGCTCTTCTGAGTTACTGCTTCATTTGATCCTCACACTCTAAGGGTAATTATTATTATTATCCCCGTTACTATATAAAGATGTTTAAATGATCTGTCCAAGATCACATAGCCAATAAAAGCTCAAATCAGAGGTCAAATGCAGATCTGTCTGACTCTAAAAGCTATGATCTTTTGAAACCCATAGTAAGATTCTAGAGTGAAGAAGTTTCTAGTATGAAGTCAATAAGCATTTGTTAAATGAATGACTTAATTATTTTTCTTAACTATTTCAAGTCTACCTACACAGGATAGTATACTCTATTCAAAATGTTTCAGTTGTATCCAAAATTCTTGATAATATTTATAAGAAGTAACTCTGATTCATTATTCTTAGAAAGAATAAGCATAGTAATGAAAAAAACTTTGTGGGGAAAGAGGAGTAAACTAATGGCTTTATTTGAAAGGCGCTATCAGCACACTTCCACTGAGTATTATAGAAACTCTGAGAGTTTGGTGAGCTAGCAGAAGCCCAAATACAAGAACACAAAATAAGCCAGAGATCTCCCTTTTCTTTAAGCTTTGGAGGATTACTTGACAAGCACTGACTGGTTATTAGAGAGGTCTTGCTTCTGCCTGTTTTCTTCCCTATCAGAGGGCCCTATCAGTGGGCCTACAGAGTAGCTTCCAAATGTCAATCCAATGGCTGCATGCCTCAGAATTATCTTGTTCCAAACACATTTGCAGGTTCCATCTCAATGCTATTCAGTCTGACTCTCCAAAGGTATAATCCAGTAACCTGCAGTTTTAAGTATTAAAAAATATTAAAGTTCAAAAACCTCCAGTGTTTCTAATGTATGGTCATGTTTGTGAACCAATGACCTCAAAAAAAAAAAAAATAATAATAAGGCTGTGCCAATACTGTGTGAGCATTCAAAGCCTCCAAATAAAGGAGGGAGCTCACTGTGTGAGCATACAGGCTCCAAATAAAGGAGGGAGTAACAAACTGCTTTTAAAGAAGTACAGACATTCAGTATTTGTCCACCATCCCCCGTGCATTAAAAAGTTCTATTAACAGGTACCTATGCAGACATCAGAATAGCAGAAACAGCCAAGTTAGATTAAATCTCTGGGAATTTTACAGAGATAGTTATATACCCTAACCTACTTATCAATTGTAGGTTATGTGTATCAATGTACTGAGGGAATACATTTTTTTTTTTTTTGTAGAGACAGTCTCACTTTGTCGCCCCTGGTAGAGTGCCGTGGCGTCACACAGCTCACAGCAACCTCTAACTCCTGGGCTTACACGATTCTCTTGCCTCAGCCTCCAAAGTAGCTGGGACTACAGGTGCCCGCCACAACACCCAGCTACTTTTTTGTTGTTGTTGTTGAGTTTGGCCAGGGCTGGGTTTGAACCTGCCACCCTCGGTATATGGGGCTGGTGCCCTACTCACTGAGCCACAGGGAATATATTTGTAGGGAATTATGTGTAGGGAATCAGTATCAGTGTTTGGGATATATCAGTGACTTAAACAAAGATTCCATTGCTTAAAAAGCTTAAAGTCCTTCATCAGAGTCAAACAATAAACAAAATAAAAATAAACCTATAAACTTATTCCTTTCCAAATTTATATTTATTTGAACATATATAATACATATAAGAAAATATACATTGTATAAAATGTACAGAATGTATGTATTCTCATAAAAAAAGACACCATTGGGTGGCACCTGTGGCTCAGTGAGTAGGGTGCTGGCCCCATATACTGAGGGTGGCAGTGCAAATCCAGCCCCAGCCAAACTGCAACTAAAAAATAGCCGGGTGTTGTGATGCCACAACACTCTACTGAGGGTGACAAAGTGAGAACTCTAGGGGGCATTTTAACTTACATAGAGTGATCAACATGAAAATATGACACTTGAGCAACGAGCCATAGAAAATGAAGGTATTGGCCTTGTAAGTATCTCAAAAAAGATCATTCTCAGTAGAAGGAGCAGCTCATGAGAACTCCCTAAAGCAAAAGCATACTGATAATGCTTGTTTGAGGATCCCAAGAAGGTTGTGTGGTCTGAGAGAGGGACAAGCAGGTCAGTAAGAAGTAGAGGAGGTAATGAGTACTCAACATATAAAACTTTACCGAGGCACTATAAGGAAAGAAGAGCATTGGAACAGCATGACCTGTCTTAAATTTTGAAAGCATGGTTCTGGCACCTGGTTGACTACATCTGTTGAGAACAGACTTCAAGCAGGAGTTAGGGTAATCAAGATGAGACACAATGATGGCAGGGACCTGCAGGGTGGTGAGGAGTGTACAGAGGGAGAGTAAACAGGATTTCTTTAGAGAAGAGGTATCAGAGAAAGAGAGAGGTATCAGAGAAAGAGGAGTCATGACAGACATGGCTGCAGAGGAGCAAATGTTGAGGAAAAGATGCAGAGTTCTACTTTTGGACATGGTAAATTTAAACATTAGACAATCAAGTGGAGAAAATCCAGCCATGACTAGAATGACCCTATCTTAGATTCTTAAATATCTGCCACATCAAAATAGCAAAGACTAGACACAGAATAAACCACAAAAACATGCATAGTGCCTGATTTAACGTGGCAGATTAATAACAACCAGCATCTTTACCAAATAAGAATGTAAGTAAAATTTCTATAGTAAAAATGCCTTTGGTTTACCTCAACATCTATTTCCTATGTTTCAAAGATAAAGACTTAACTCCCACTCCTCCTAAAAATGCTACATAGTATCCCTTTCAGGTAACATTGCTTAAGTTAAATTGTTGTCTTAAAATAACCATTCCAGGTGATACTATGATTGTCACTAAGCTACAAATACTGCTGAATGAAATTATCAGTAGATGAACGGATACCTTGGCTGAACTGTGGGCTCATTAATAGCTTGAAGTCTCTCCTGCAAATGATGAATCTCTGTTCCATAGTTTTCTTCAGTTTCTTTCAACTGTCGCTGCAAAGAGGATATGAGGTTTTCTAATGTTTGCACTTGTTCTTCAAGTTGCTTAATTTTTTCAATATCTTGCAGAGAAGACACCTTGCTTTTATGATTGACATCTGCTGTATGAACACAAGAAAAGATACATTTCAGTATACATTTCTTAGTGAAATGCCACAATAACTTTGTGTGTGCAGAAAATATTCATTTTTCTTTAAAAAGATGATTTTAGTAATAACTCAGGTTTCAATTTGAATTCATTGGGATGAAAACAACAAAACACAAATAAATCAATTTGGAGATTTTTTCCTACCCTCATGGCTGTCGTACCCATAAATCCAACAATTTTATGCTTTTAAATTAAAAACAATTTAGAATCATAGAACATAAGAAGTGGGAAGAGTCCAGAAAGATAAGCAGGCCAAATCTTTCATTTCAAGGATGAGAAAATCAGGATCACAGAGGTTATGCTGGCATTTCTAATGTTACTAATTAGTCTCAAATTTTAAACTAGAAAAGAGAATTACTAAACACTTGATATAAAAATAAAATACTGATTGTTGTATACAATCAAAATTTACCAATGTCTTGTAAGCTGGTTATCTGAGAATGGGTTGATAAAAACTCCATTTCCTCTCTTGGCAGGTTTTCTTCTGCAAATTCAAGTTTTATACCGTCTGTTTGCCATCTCTGAATCTATTAAAAACAGCAGAATACAAGCAGTCACACAAATATATGATCTAGGTCTTTGACATCTATATTAAAACAAGTTTGAATTTAAGATTTCCAAATAGTTAACACTCTGATATTATTATTATTCTAAGTTATTCCCTATTCATGTTGATACAGTGATCACATTCCATTCTCTTCATGGCACGGAAATTACATTAAAATGTTTTTTTGATACCTAAAAAGGAGTTCATTTTACTGCAAAGACAGTGCTTCACAGAATTTTAGCAGAAAGTTTATAACAGTATTTGTAGTGTGACTTAATTTTTGAAATTTCAACTTATAAATGATAACTTTTACCTTATCAATACCTTATTAATATCATATTCATCTCTGGGTATGTCCCATGTGCAACCAGGTAACTGACAACTAGTATGCTGCTCTTTACAGTAAAAAATAGATAATGTACACAGCCATCATTTAATAAAAAAAGAAAAAATCAAACAAAAAAATAGGAAAGAAACTAATAAAAACAGATAAATCTCAATTTATTCCCTTAACTATTAAAACTAAGCAGCAGTATGTCAGATGAATATGTGTGTTAATTTATTCATTCATCAAATACATAATAATCCACATGATCAGCATGTGACAAGGGAGAGTAAAAACAAAAAAATCAGCTAAAAATATATATATACATACATATATGGTGTATCTGCTCTCACAGATTTGTCGATTAATTGAGGAAATAAAGTTAAACAATTAGAGAAGTACAAAATTATAGAGTTTGACTCTAATGATACAGAAGACTGATGTGGATCTGAGTAATTATAGAGAAACTCAAAACTTGATTTAGGCCTCAAAGACTTTTGGCATTGATTTGGAAAGACTATCAGGCAAAAAGAATATGAACATATGTAAAAGAATGATCTCTGTTGTGAGTATTAAAGACAATTATCTTAGGAATTTATTTGACTAAGGAGAGGAAACAAAGCTAGTTAAATAAGGAAGATCCAAATTACAGAAGACACAGGGGAAAGAGTTTAGACTTGACAGACCAGATGAACAAACGGTACTGTAGACTCAGGTGAGCAACAAGATAAAACTTACTCCCCAGGAAGGCTGTTTTAATTGGTTACTACTCTTTTTTTTTGGCCGGGGCCGATTTGAATCCACCACCTCTGTATATGGGATTGGTGCCCTACCCCTTTGAGCCACAGGTGCCGCCCTGATTATTACTCTTTTTAAGCTTTTTTTTTTTTTTTTTGGCCAGGGCTAGGTTTGAACCTGTCACCTCCAGCATATGGGGCCAGCGCCCCACCCTTCTGAGCCACAGGCGCTGTCTCTCTTTTTAAGCTATTAACTTGTTGAGTACATTTCAACAGAAGCCTGGCCTCCGTTGAGACCATTAGGTAAATTCTTAACTTTCTAGCCTAACCTTTCTAATTCATTCAGCAAATATTTATTAAGATTTACTGGAAATAAAGAATAGACAGGTTTCCTATTATGAAGACTTTGAAGCCAATGGAAGAGATAGAGTAAACAAATAATTATAATAACATGAAAAGTAATGTGATACAAAAACAAGTTTGTAAAAGGACTTAAAGCAACATGGAAAAAAGAAGCATAGTCAAGTATTTAAAATAACAGAAAAAGATAAATGCAACAAGCATGGACTTGTACACACTGCTAAGGGAAGACAGGTAAAGATGACAGACAAAATCACATTTGAACCCACTGGAATAACAAGAAGGAGACTAGAGGAGGATGGGCAGTATTAGGCAGAAAAGCTCAGGGGTGTCAACAAAAAGAGTTCATTGGGGAAATTCTAAGTATTTCAGTATGGCTAAAATAAGAGAAAAATTAGAAAATGAAGTTCAAAGCTCAGGCAGTGATGTACTGCAGTTCTGACTCTGACCCCAGAAAAACTGTGGGGTGCCTCTGCAATTGTATGTAGCTTAGAGTCATAAACCATGAAATACACATATTACCTGTGGGGTAAACCCCCACAAAAATTAAATGAAATGTGCTCTTTTAATTCCAGAACTGAGCGAAAAGACTTGTGAGTATTATGCACTTTTGTTGAAACCCTAAGTGACCTGGGAAAACACGGCCAGGTGTAAAAACCTCTTACAGGTAACCCCGACTGTGCAGTCAAGTCAGCCTGTCAGATAAGGGTTGAAACGGCCCATCTGTGCAGAGGACATGACTCAAAGGTTGATGTGAGTAAAAAGAAAACCTCCATCGTAATGATGTTGAGTAAAATACTCCATCGTAACTGCAGGGTCTCCAAAACCATAAAAAAACAGCCATGAAGCCAGTTTCTTGGAAATTTAATTGAGTACATAGAAGAGAAAGGTTTTACTTCTCTGTTTATCCTAACCTTTAACTTTAACAATAGAAGTCAGATAATGTATTGTTCTTTTAGATCTTCCAAGAGGAATAGCCTGAGGCTAGCTTAAGATGTTCATCTTACTTTCCCGGACTTTCTTTCTTTCTTTTCTATAGTTTAAGATAAGAAATGAGGATGTTAGGATTATCGATCAATGTGGTGAACTGACTAGCTCCCAATAAAAAGGAGTAGAAAATAAAGACATTTTGCTACATGCCACCTCAGAGTGTGCAGTCGTTTCTTGCTTTTAAACAATTCTAGGAGCGAGCTTGCACCCGTGGCCAAGCCGTCCTTCTCTCCCCAGGAGAAAGAACATCACCCAACAGTTACCACTGTGTAGAAAAGAGTTGACACAGCAGTTGTTATACTGCCTTTCTTTAGGAAGACCTGTTGTCAAGTCTGGCCCTTGGCTGGAATCTAGAAACATTTTTAAAACAACTACATGAAAATAAAACTGACATAGAAAACACCAGGTGAAACGAATTAGCTATGTGCTAAACAACTGAAGTAGTTATCAAGATTCTCTAAAACAGTGAGACCCATTGTTTTAACTTTGCTATATATAAAATTAAATGCAACTGATTCACATAGCTTACAATCTGATTTTGTAATTCACCATTTCAAAAGCTCTTGAAAGGGATTAAATATTCTTCAACTTGGAAAATTTCCTACAGCTTAGCAATATGAATTCTCTACTACAATTTCCCAATCTCCTTTTTCATGTTCACTTATTTTATAAATTCTTGGTTTATAAAGCAGCTTAAAAAATAGCAGGTAATAGGATAAATGCAAATATTACAATACATTTTCCATTTTACAGACCTTACTTAATCGTTTCTGAAGCACCAAGAGTTTGTTGTATTCTTCTGTTACTTTGCTGAGAAGAGTTTGCATGTTTTCTTGAAGGTCTAAATGATAAACAGACAATTATACTAATTTCATGTTATAGTAAAAGTCTGCACCTTTCCATAAATATCATTCATCTATTTATAACTTTACAAAATTTACCAAATTGCCTGCTAGAAGTAATCCTCATACATTTAGTAAATCCAAATCAAAATCTCATTAATGTGAAACACCTGCTACAAAGACAACTTGGAAACTTTCATATTAAAATATGTTATGTCTGGGGGGCACCTATGGCTCACTGAGTAGGATGCCGGCCCCATATACTGAGGATAGCGGGTTCAAACCCGGCCCCGGCCACACTGCAACAACAAAAAAAAATAGCCAGGCATTGTGGTGGGTGCCTGCAGTCCCAGCTTCTCGGGAGGCCGAGGCAAGAGAATCGCCTAAGCTCAGGAGCTGGAGGTTGCTGTGAGCTGTAACGCCATAGCACTCTACCCAGGGCAACAAAGTGAGACTCTGTCTCTTAAAAAAAAAAAAAAAAAAAAAAAAAGTTATGTTTACTTGGTATTCATTAATTTGCATAAACTTTGTTCAACATCCACATAAATAAGGGGAGGAAACATTTTATCTGTGTTGGAACACCAAAAAATTAATAAAAAGTATAATTTGTTAATAAGATAAAGTAATACCAGATCTGTATTAAGGAAGATATTTCTTCTTTCTCAATTTTCCTCTTACTCATTTTTAAAATAGTATATCATTGATATAAACTTATTCAATAAATACGATAACTTTAAAGATCTGATCTATGGTATTAGAAGTTTAAAAAAAACTTTTAGAATAAGGAAAAAGATCAGAGTAGAAGAATAAAAGACAAAGAGACAAGTTAAACATGTGGACAGCTTTGATAATCTTTACAATTATAGCATTATAAAAATTAAAACTGTACACTGAATATAAGATTCCATGAATGTGAAAGGAAGACAAGATTTTATGACAATAAACTCAACCTGGCTGAGTGATCAAATCATGATTAAAGGTAAAGTAAATATCAATTTATTTAAGAAAATTAAATACTATTTAAATCCTGTGGTAAGCTTTTATTTACCTTGAAATTCACATCTATAATCTTGCAATTCTAGTTCTTGATTTTCAGAAGTATAAACATCAAAATTCTCTCTCTCTTCTATGTTTACTTTATCTTTTAAAGCAGGAGTGTAAGATTCACCAAGAACACTGCATAAAGTCTGTTAACAAAATGGGATACTTTAAGTAATTAAAATTTTTATGTCTGCATTGAAATATTAAACATTATTTTCCTAGATACAAAAGACAGTCAAATGGCACAGAAAAATCAATGAGAAAGCACTCCTCCATACACCAAATCAATCTGTAAAAGAAATGTCTAAATCAGGGGTCCTCAAATTTTTTAAACAAGGGGCCAGTTCACTGTCCCCCAGACTGTTGGAGGGCTGGACTGCGGGCCCGGGATGAGTCGGCTGCTAACCAGGACAGGCAGTGGCAGCAAAAACACCTGGTGGGCCGGATAAATGTGCTAGGCGGGCTGCATGTGGCCTGTGGGCTGTAGTTTGAGGACGCCTGGTCTAAATTTTTCTCTATATATGACATAAAATTCAGGAAAATATTGATAATCTTCATTGTACAAAACTATAATTTTCCTGATTTCCTCTAATAAGAAAATATATCTTATAATTTAATCTACTACTTCTAGGCTTGAATCCTATTCTGATATTATCTCTGTAATGTCAAGTACCCTTGAAAAAATACCACAGGACAAGGCTAGAAACTCAGAAATGGTTATCAGAAATAAATAAATTATAATATCAAAAAAAGATAACATTCATATACTTTTCTGTAGCATTGAGAACAGTTTTCCATAGTTTATAAATAACAACAAAAAATGGAAAATATTTGATGTATCATTCTGGTTGTTCTCCTAAACAACCAATAATTCTATCATTTAAGACAACCCACATAAGCTGGAGAAAGATGGCAGACTAGAGACACCGCCTCACTAGCCACCCATGGTGAGACAGGGGAGAGAGGACTCCAGTCAATTCCAGCTGGGGGAATCTACCCAGAAACATTACTCCAGAGATACAGTGAAGCGGGAGATTCTGGGAGCCAATGAGGAGGGCTGTAGCCAAGGAAGACCAGCATAGAAGGCAAGTACCTGGTACAGGCAGAGGCTGGTGGGCTGGCCCTTCTGCGAAGGACTAGGGACAGGAAAGAGATGTCCTATAGATCTTTGTTTTTGGACTGGGAGGTTCACTGGAACTGCCACAGAGGAGCTTGGGCAAGTGAGTGGACTTGAGCAGCATCAGTGGCTAGGACGAGTGCCAGTGAGGTAGAATTCCCATGGGCTTGGCTACCAGCAGGGTACCCCCATTGTGGGAAGGCCATGCAGGATGAACAGTCTGCAGGATTCTAGTGCATGGCTGGCTCTGGCATGCCTGCTGAGCTCAGGAAATCATTGCTGCGGTGAGCTGAATGGCCTCTGCACCCTTGGGAGGTGACTTTGCTTTAATTGGAAGGTCAAGATGTGACTACTAAGAAATCTGGCCAGAGCTTCAGGATCCTAATCCTGTGGGGACTGAATGATGGCAAAGTGACCAGGCCCTAAATGAGGGCAAATATGTTAGGAAGATAAGACTGGGTTTCTCCTGCAACTAGAAGTGGCTTCTAGGCCTTATCTTAAACAGTAAAATCAGCCTGAGTATTCTCTGTCTATTAACACCACAGTGCAACCTGGTGTCCAGACAATATACAAACACACACATACACAATTTTTTTGTTCATTTTTTGCTATTTTTTCCAATTTTTTTCCTCAGTTTTTTCCTTTTTGTTTTTTTGTTTTGTTTGGTTTGTTGTATTTTATTTTTTCACTTTTACTTTAATAGCAAGGGCTCCTCTATCTGTTGTTACAGTTTTTCAGCACCTTTTATTTTTTCTTTTTTCTCTCTATTGCTAGAGATTTTTCTACTTTTCTCATACAGATATCTTATACAACAACTAAGACAGCCCTTTTAAAAATTCATTTTATATAATTATATTTAAATTTTTATCTATTTTTATTTTATATTTCCTCTGAGGGCATTGGTCTGGCTGTGGGGGGGGGGGTGTTATGGCATTTGTCTGGCTCAAGAAGGCCAAGAGCTTGTGGTCTAGGGTGTCCTTCTAGTGTTGACCTTTGAAAGATAGTACTGGTAGGTCCCCACTGAGACATACTACTGACTTTTCTCTATATTTGGAGGAGGTAGGGTCTTGCTTTTGTCCAGGCTGATAAAGAGCTCCTGACCTTGAGAGAAACCACCCAGTCTGCCTCCCAAGCCCTTGGAGTTTTCAGTGTGGGTCAAAGCACCCTGCCATATACCACAATTTCTCCTGTCTCTTTCTATCCTTCTTCTTTCCCTTTCTTCAGTTCTTTCCTTTCACTCCTTCCTGCCCCTTTTTAAATCTTTTTCTTTCCTTTCTCTCTTCTTGCTCTACCCTTTCTCTTCCTTTTGGCCTTATGCCAAAAGGCCACTTCAACACCTAAGCTCAGAGACAAGGTAATTTAAAGTGAAGAAAGTAGTAAGAGAAAGAAGTAGGGGAAAGATGTGAACAAAAAGAAAACACACAGAGGAGGAACAAATTGAAAAATTCTAGAAATATGAAAAATAAACACAGAGCAACCCCCCCCAACGAGTCATGAGGTAGCTATCGCAGATGATTCCACCTATAAATAATTAATGGAAACAAAAGAAAGAGAAGTTAAAATATGGATGGCAAAAACAATAAAGAGAATTGACGAGAAAGTGGAAAATAATCAAAAGGAAATCCAAAAAAAGACCTAAAAAATGGATGAAAAATGTAAGAATATTTGAAGGAGACAGTCAGGGAACTTAAAGATGAAGTAGAAAGTATCAATAACAGATTAAACCATGAAGAAGAAACAATCTCAGACTCAGAGCATAAAGTTCTTGAGTTAACCCAGGTAGTTAAAGAGAGAAAGGAAGAGAGAGAAAGCAGAACGTTCACTCAGAGAATGATGAAGTTCATGAAGCATTCAAACATAAATTATAGGGATCCTTGAAAGGAAAGAACAATGTCCCAAAGGAATGAAAGCTCTATTAGAGGGTATCATAAATGAATATTTCCCAAGAATCATGAAAGATTCCAAAACACTCCTTATAAAGGGATATTGTACCTTGGGTTGTCTCAATAAATAAGAGAATCTTGAAGACACACTGTAATGAACCTGTCAAAAGTCAAGATGAAAGAGAAAATTCTGCAAGCAGCCAGGAACAAGTGCCAACTGACTTGCAAGGGCATATCCATCAGGTGACAACAGACATTTCAGGTGAAATTTCCCAAGCCAAAAAGAGAATGAGTCATTTATGTTTAACTTTCTTAAACAAAAAATTTTCAGCCCCAAGTTCTGTATCCTGCTAAACTAAGCTTCAAAATAGATGGAGAAATCAAATCTTTTACTGATATACATTGAGGAAATTCACCACAAGACCACCTATTTAGGAAGTACTTTGATCTAGTCTCCACACGCCCATCACAATGGACCTCCATCAAAGTAAACACCCAGAAACTAAAGGACAAAACCTTCCACAATGGTGCAAGGATAAAACTAAGCAATGGACTATCACAAAATAAGATCAAAAAACTTTACCACACTTACCAATTTTCTCAATAAATGTAAATGGCTTGAATTCCCCACTGAAGAGACACAGGCTGGCCAACTAGATAAAAAAACACAAGGCATCTATATATTTCCAAGAAACATACCTAACTTTGAAGGACAATGAGTGAAGGGTTGGAAAGACTCAGTGTAAAGGGTTAGAAAATAATATTTTAGGCAAACGAAAATCCTAAGAAAGAAGGGGATTGCAATCTTACTTTCAGATAAAAGTAGATTTAAACCAACTAAAGTTAGAAAGACAAAAATGGCCACTTCATACTGGTCCGGGGAACAATACAAAGGGATTGTATTTCAATTCTAAATAATTTATGCACCCAACTTAAATGCTCCCAGATTTATGAAATAGACCTTAATTGGTCTGAAGACAGCCCGTAACACCATAATAGCTGGGAACATTAACACCTATCTGATAGAATTGGACAGATCCTCTACAGAAACTAAACAAAGATACAAGGGACTTAATTAAATGTGACCCTAGAACAAATGGGATTAATAGACAAATACAGAACACACCATCCCAAACCTAAAAAATATATGTTCTTTTTGGCAGTCCATCGAACATACTCCAAAATAGATCACATCCTAGGACACAAATCAAACTTCAACAAAATTAAAAGGATTAAAATTATACCTTGTATCCAGTCAGACCACAAGGCAATTAAGGTAGAACTCAACTGCAACAAAAATTTTCATTTTCCTCCCCACACAAAGACATGGAAACTAAACAACCTTATGCTGAATGACAATTGGGCCAAGGAAGAGATAAAGGAAGAAATTCTTGAATTTCTCAAATATAACAATAATGAAGACACAAATTACTAAAACCTACAGTATACTACAAAACCAGTCCTAAGAGGGAAATTTATCATGCAAGATGCCTATCTCTGAAAAAGACAGAACACATCAACAACCTAAAGAATCATCTTAAGGAAATGGAAAAAAGCCAATCCAACCCCAGATCCTAGCTGAAGAAAAGAAATAACCAAAATTAAATCAGAAATCAATAAAATTGAAAACAAAAGTATCATTCAGAAAATTAATGAAACAAAAAGTTGGTTCTTCAGAAAGATAAATAAAATTGATAAGCCTTTGGCCAATTTACCAAGAAATAGAAAAGTAAAATTTCTAATAACCTGAACCAGAAACAAAAAAGGGGAAGTAACAACAAACACCATAGAGATACAAGAAATTATCTCTTAATACTACAAGAAACTCTACATCCAGAAATTTTACAACATAGAGGAAATGGACCACTACCTGGAATCATACCATCTCCCTAGACTTAAGGAAGAAGCAGATCTCTTGAACAAAACAATATCAAGCACTGTGATCAAAGAAACAATAAAAATCTTTCAAGAAAAAAAAGCCATAAACCAGATGGCTTCATACCAGAATTCTATCAAGCCTGTAAAGAAGTACCTGTAGCTATACTACAGAACCTATTCCAAAACATGGAGAAGGAAGGAATCTCCTCTATCACATTTTATGAAGAAAACATCGCCTTGTTACCAAAACCAGAAAAGGACCCAACTAAAAAGGGAAATTACAGACCAATTTCACTAATGAATATCAATGCAAAAATACTCAACAAAATCTAAGCTAATAGACCGCAGCTACACATTTAAAGAGTTATTTATCATGATCAAATAGGCTTCATCCCAGAGATGCAAGGCTGGTTTAATATACACAAATCCATAAATGTAATCCATCATATCAAAAGAAGCAAAAACAAAGACCATATGATCCTCGCAATTGATGCAGAAAAAGCATTTGATAAAATTCAGCATTCTTCTCTAAGAAGAACACTTAAAAAGACAGGCACATTTCTTAAAATGACTGAAGCATCTATGACAAATCCATAACCAGTACCATAGTCAACGGAGTAAAACTGAAAGCTTTTCCACTTAGAACTGGAACCAAACAAGGATGTCTTCTATTGTCACTACTATTCAACATAGTGCTAGAAGTTCTAATCAATGCAATCAGGTAAGAGAAGGATATAAAGGGCATCCAAAGCCAATGATATAATCTTATATTTAGAGAACCCCAGAGACTCAACTACAAGACTCCTGGAAATGATCAAGAAATACAGTAACATCTCAGAGTATAAAATAAATGTCCACAAATCAGTAGCCTTTTGTATATGCCAATAGTAACCACATTGAGAAGCTAATCAAAGACTCAATTCACTTCATGGTAGCTTCAAAGTAAATCAAATACTTAGGAATATACCTAAAAAAAGAGGTGAAGTACCTCTACAGAGAGAATTATGAAACCCTAAGAAAAGAAATAACAGAAGACATTAACAAATGCAAGAACATACCATGCTCATGGCTGGGAAGAATTAACATTGTTAAAATGTCTATACTACCCAAAGCAATCTATAGATTTAATGTAATCCCCATTAAAATACCAATATCATAATCTGAAGAACTGGAAAAAATAGTTCTTTGTTCCATATGGAACCAGAAAAACCCCACATAGCTAAGGCAATTTTTAGTAATAAAAACAAAGCCAGAGGCATCACTCCATTAGACTTTAGGCTATATTACAAGTCCACAATAATCAGAACACCATGGTATTGGCACAAAAATATAGACATAGACATATGGAACTGAACAGATTTAACCAAGAGATAAAATCAGTTTCTTATAGCCATCTGATCTTTGATAAATCAAACAAAAGCATAAACTGGGAAAAAGAATCCTTATTCAATAAACGGTGCTGGGAGAACTGGATAACCACATGTAAAAGATGGAATTTTGACTTGCACTTTCCAGTTATAAAAATTGACTCAAGATGGATAAAAGATTTAAATCTAAGACATAGAAGAACATGTGGGAAAAACTCTTGAGGATGTTGGCCTTGGGAAAGATTTTACAAAGATTTCAGGGCAACTGCAACAATAAAAATAAACTTAATTAAAATGGACTTAATTAAATAGGATTTAATTAAACTGAAAAGCTTCTGCACAGCTAAGGAAAGTGAAAAGATATTTGCATGTTAAGAATCTGACAAAGGCTTATACTAGAATCTAGAATAACTAGAATGTATAGAGAACTCACATTAATCAACAGAAAAAAGCCAACAATCTCATCCATCACTGGGCAAGAGACATGAACAGAAACATCTCTGAGTAAGAAAATAGCTAACAAACATGAAATAATGCTCACTATCCCTAATAATGAGAGAAATGCAAATCAAAACTATCCTGTGATATCACCTAACCCCAGTGAGAATAGCTCACATCACAAAGTCCCAAAGCTGCAGACAGTGGTGTGGATTTGGAGAGAGGAGAACACTTTTACACTGTTGGTAGGAATGTAAACTACTACAGCCTCTTTGGAAAGAAGTATGGAGAATCTTCAACTCAAATTAGACTTTCCATTTGATCCCACAATCTCATTACTAGGTATCTACTCAAAAGAAAAAAAATCATTTTATCATAAGGACATTTGCATTGGATTGTTTATCACAGCTCAATTTACAACTGCCAAAATGTGGAAACAACCTAAACGCCCATCAACCCAGGAACAGATTAACAAACTGTGGTATATGTATATCATGGAATACTATTCAGCCATAAAAGGATGGAGACTTTACATATTTTTTATTAACTTGGATGGAGTTGAAACAAATTTTTCCTAGTAAAGTATCACAAGAACAGAAAAGCAAATATCCAATGTACTAAATACTAATATGAAGCCAGCAGACAATCTAATACAGGCCCACATTAGAGAAAAACGCAATTCAATTCAAGTTGGATGGAGAAGGGGTGAGAGAGGGAGGAGATTGGTGTGTTCCCACTCAATGGGCACAATGTAAGGGTGTATGGCACATCTTTTGGGTACAGGACACAACTATAACAAGGACTCTACCTAACAAATGCAAATATTGTAATCTAGTTGTTTGTACTCCATATTAAGCTGAAATTAAAAAGTAAATGAAGAATAAACATAAAGAACAAATGAATAAATAAATAAGACACATGTAAGTTGGGTGCAGCGGCTAATGCCTGTAACCTCAGCACTTTGGGAGGCCAAGGTAAGAAGATTGCTTGAGGCCAGGAGTTTGAGACCAGCCTGGACAACATAGTGAAATCTTGTTTTTACAAAAAATAAAAGTAAGAAAATTAGTTGGGCCTGGTGGCACAGGCCTGTAGTCCTAGCTACTTGGGATCTGAGGCAGGAAAATCCCTTGAGCCCAGGAGTTGGATGTTACACAGCAAGGCTATGATGACATGACTGTACTCCAATCTGTGCAGAAGAATGAGTCCATATCTCAAAAAAAAAAAAAAAGAACAAAACACATGCCCCATAACCATTTGGTAAGTTCTGCGAATAACTTTTACCTTTTACCCTCATGCAACTAAAAATAGACATAATCAACTTTGAAATTTAAAAAATAAACTGTTTACTGATACTATTTCTTCATATTTCTTGTGATCTGCTTAAAAGTTAAACTATATTGTCAATTACATGAATATTCAATTTACAGATGAAGAAACTGAGACACAGAAGAATTAAGTAACTCATCTTCAGCAACATCAACAACTAGTCTGTTCTATTGATGAGATAATTTATATCTGAATATCTTTTGTTACAAACAGATTATCAGGAAATTTGTAAATGTTCATTTAAAGTTAAAACTCTGAATTCTCTACCATCCTGTCATCATTCCGAGACTTCCCCTAATCGAGCCTATATACAAGTGGGCTTTGCTTTTACTCTCTCTCCTCCTCACTCTCCTCTTCGCTCTCCTCTTTTTCTCTACTTTTTCTCCCCTTTTCTCTCCTTCTTGGTGCTGCTCTGCAGCCTCCCTGCCCCACCAATAAAGATCTTTCATACAAGCAAAAAACAAACAAACAAAAAAACCCTCTGAATTCTAAGTGCTGTTCTGCAGTAAGATAGTGAAAAAAACTAGGTTAGATAATCTGCTCATCAAATTAGTAGCAGCTTAAAATTTAGCACTTGTCTAAAAGTACTTTTTAAGTAATCTTACCTGTGAAAAACTAGAATATTCTTCAGACACTGCATTTTGAAGTTTTCCAATGAGCGTCTGTAAAGGCTTTGCTTTACCACCTAAAAGATAATGCATTAAGATGTTCAATTTAAATATTTAAGTACTATTACCATATTTAACCCTACATATCAACTAAAAGCTTTCCTGCAATAAGGTTAGTTTTAAATTCTTTATTTCTTTCAAAGTTATTTTCCATTGCTCAATGTTAACTGTCTCAGAATACTGTAAGATTTTTCAAATTCTATTCCACAAGACGTTATAAGGCAGTGACTTTCAATCTCTTTTTATACTATAACCCAACATAAGAAGTATCATAAACTATTATATACACCCATGTAAAACTGAAATTAAAATTTCAATAATCAGTATTTACTTTTCTTGCATGCTATGTAATGCAGTGTTTTCTGTCCTACTTTCCTTTTAATTTTTTCTTTTTCTTTCTTATTTTTTTGACACAGTGTCTTGCCCTTCCCTCTGTTGCCTGGACTAGAGTTCAGTCCAGGTACTACAGTGCACGCACAGCTCACTGGACCCTCTAACTCCTATGCTTAAGCAATCCTCCTGCCTCACCCTCCCAAGGAGGCAGGTCTACAGATGCATATGCTACCATGCCTGGCTAATTTATCTGTTTTTGTAGAGATGGAAACTCGCTTTTGCTCAAGCTGGTCTCAAACTCCTGAACTCAAGCAACCTCATACCTCGGCCTCCTAGACTGCTTGGATTATAGGCATGAGCCATGCCATTCAGCCCTCTACTCTTCTATTTATATTTTAAAAAGAAGATGCTAGTCATTACTCACTAAACTGACTTTATGACTCATCAATAGATCCATTAATTGACTTGTAGTTTAAAAAACACTGGATAGACTATTTGAAGATATGAATTAAAATAATACATGTTTAAAATTCTAGTAAATTCAAACTCCAAAACTCCTAATGTGAAAAAGTATGGTATTCTTGGCTCGGCGCCTGTGGCTCAAGCGGCTAAGGCGCCAGCCACATACACCTAAGGTGGCGGGTTCGAATCCCCAGCCCGGGCCCGCCAAACAACAATGATGGCTGCAACCAAAAAATAGCCAGGTGTTGTGGCGGGCGCCTGTAGTCCTAGCAAATTGGGAGGCTGAGGCAGGAGACTCGCTTGAGCCCAGGAGTTGGAGGTTGCTGTGAGCATGATGCCATGGCACTCTACCCAGGGAGATAGCTTGAGGCTCCGTCTCAAAAAAAAAAAAAAAAAAAAAAGTATGGTATTCTTGTTCCAGCCTCTCTTAACTTCTTACTCTGCTCAATAGAGAAATTTCATTGGAAAAACTTAAAAACCTCCTCATTCCCATAGGCAAAAGTAGAGGCCTCGAGCTACCCTAAACCCAAGAAGCCTTGTTCTTTAACTGTGTGATGAAATAATCTATTATCTATAATCTATTATCTATCTATCATCATCTATAATCTATTAAAGATAAAAGTTAATTATAACTAGTTCATAAACAGGTTCCTTTTCTTCAACTGTAGGTCCTCTAAACGTTGCTGCTTCCCATGGTGCCATCTTAAGTCTTCTGGTTCTCTCTCTCTCATCTCAGATAACTTCCATGTTGATTCTAAATCTTTTATCTAGAACCCACTGCTCTCTCCTCAGTTTCATACTTCTATGTTCAACTGCATACTGGACATTTCTTTTTCAATGTCAATAGGTATTCTTATTCAATATTGTCCAAACGGAATTTATTATCTTTCCCACAAATCTGTTCCTTGTCCTCTTTGTGACTGGACTATCCTCAATTTAGTTACCCAAGTTAGAAATTTGGCGATCATTCTTAATTCCTCCCATTTTTACTGCTAATATTAGCTGGAGACTAGAGCCTACTTCTTAAACTTAACTTTCCTTTCCATCTTCACTGACTCTTAGTGCAATATCTCATTTATTGGCATTACTCCCAAAGTTGCAGACCTGTTTTCCCATCACTAATCTCACTTCTCCCAACCCACGCCAATGGTGTCATCTTAAGTAAAAATCTTACTATGTTACTAATAGCAAGTAAAAATCTTGCTATTTAAAATCCTGTAGTAGGTCTTATCATCAATAGCCTAGAACAGGCGTCCTCAAACTACGGCCCACGGGCCACATGCAGCCCGCCTAGGACATTTATCTGGCCTGCCGGGTGTTTTTGCCGTTGCTGCCTGACCTGCTTAGCAGCCGACTTGTCCCGGGGCCTGCAGTCTGGCCCTCCAATGGTCTGAGGGACAGTGAACTGGCCCCCTGTTTAAAAAGTTTGAGGACCCCTGGCCTAGAACTTAAATAAGCTTTATTCAGAGTACATAACACTTTTACTGTTTAAGCTCTTACCAATCTCTCCAGCTTTATACTTTCCTACATACTTTGTATTCTCTATTCTCAAAAACAGATGTACTGAACTGCAACCTTCCTTAAAATTCCAGCTACACGTGCCCACCACCACCTCACCCTACTAAACCTGTCAGAAAGCACTACACTTTTCTCCTTTCTTCTCCCATTCTTTTTGTTTATTCTTCTTTTTTTTTTTTTTTTTGAGACAGAGCCTCAAGCTGTCCCCCTGGGTAGAGTGCCGTGGCATCACGCTCACAGCCACCTCCAACTCCTGGGCTCAAGCGAGTCTCCTGCCTCCGCCTCCCAAGTAGCTGGGACCACAGGCGCCCGCCACAACGCCCGGCTATTTTTTGGTTGCAGCCGTCATTGTTGTTTTGGCGGGTCCGGGCTGGGGATTCGAACCCGCCACCCTAGGTGTACGTGGCTGGCGCCTTAGCCGGCTGAGCTATAGGCGCCGAGCCTGTTTATTCTTCTATTAGAGAAATAGGCAGTTTGTTTTATACAAGGTGGCCATAACATTTACGTGCACACAAACTTTACGGCCACCCTGTATATGCTTTCCTGATGAAGTGTGACTTCATATGAGAAAATGAGTCAATGATTTTAGCTTTCTCAAGTATTTAAATGAACATCCAGGCATTATATAAGCAAATGAATCCAGGACTGGATATGTAAATTATTTTCCTCTATGGGCTCTAATTGATACTTATTAGCTTCACGGTATTTAAAAGTCAGAAACCATTTACCTGTTTCTTGTGTTTTTATATTCTGTAGCTCTAACTGGTGTATTTTCTGAAGTTCCTTGATCTTTTCGTCTTGAGCAGAAATAAGCTCCTCTTTCAGACTGCTTAGAGCTTTATCTTTTTCATTTTCCATATATTCACGAACCTGATCCACATGAGTTGAATAAACCAGAGAGAGGCATATGCGTTGAGCTTCCATTTGTAGCCTTAAATCATTCTTAAAAGTAAATATAAACATTAGAAAATTTTAAAATTACACATCAAATAATTAACTTCTGTTTCATGGAATATACTGACTATAAAGGAGAATATACATGAAATGACAGTTTAAAAATTCATATAAGAGATCTGAAGTCTAATTTTTTTCTCCTCATTCCATTGCATTGATACACTTGTCTTTTACAATGAAAGTGGCACAACATCTTCATTACCTCAAGTTCATAGTAAATTCTGATATTTGGTATAGATAGTAGGACTTATTTTTGATTTTTGTTTTAAAATATTTTAAATGCAGAGAAATGAAAAGAGTAATGTTATGAACACTTACATACTTACAACCGAAATTAAGAAATACTAACACTTTGCCTTATTTTTCTTTATTCCCCTCCTCCCTACATATCTCTTTTTTGGTTTAGGAAGGAAACATTATAGACAAAACATAATCTACAAAGTTCTCATTTACTCCTTCCCCATAGGCAACCATTATCAAAAATGTGATACAAGTCCAGTTCATTTCTCATACTATTACTTCTCAACATATATAAATAATGCATTATATTTTGTTATACAATAAACACGAACTGCTTTTCTCATTCACTATGCCTCAGATTTATCCAAAGATATAAGTGAATTTATTTTAACTGTAGTATAGCATATATACCACAATTTGTCCATTTTCTTTTTGGAAAGATAGCTGAATTATTTCTAAATTTTGGATATTTCAAAAAATGCTACACTAAACACACACACACACAGACACACACAGCGTGGCCATAAAGTTCGTGTGCACTTAAAAAAAAAAAAATATATATATATACACACATATACATGTGTGTGTATATATACACCTCTCCCCTTAAGACAAATGTGCTTGTACTTCTCTAGTAGTGTTTTCTCAACTTTAAAGTTCTCAAACTTTAGTATGGATCAGAATTACTTAGAGTGCTTATTAAAGCAGGTTCCCGGCCCCCTCCTCCCGAGTTTCTGATATAGGAGGTCTAGGTGGGGCCTGAGAATTTGAATTCTGCTTGTTTCCAAGTGATCCTGATACTGTTGATCACGGGACTACATTTTGAGAACCACATCATAACGTAGATTTTAAAATGTATTAGATTTTCCCACATTATTTTTTACAGAACAGCCCTTACTTACACTGCTCTCAGAATTTAAGAATACTCACAGCCCTACATCTTCATCACGTATTTTGTTATCAGACTTATTTCACCAACCTGATGGTTAGAAAGTGCAACTTTACTATTGTTTCAATTTGTATGGTTCAAAGTACCTCTTCATGGTTATTTTGGTTTTCTATTCTGAGATACCTAACTGTTCATATCTTCTATCCATTTTTACTTCTTCTTGATATTTTTAATATATGTGGCAAATATCTGGTCCTTGTGATTAAATTTGTTTTATGGTATTACTTATAAAAATAACCAAATTTATTAATCTTTTCCTGTACTTTTTAAAGATGCTTCATTGAAAGTGCTTCCCTTTGTCAAGATCCTGTTTCTTTTTGTGTGTATGTCTTTAAGCAACTTGCAGTTATTTTTTTCCTAAAGGTAGGCTCTAATTTCTTAACTCCCCATCCCATCCCCAGTATCAAAAGCCAGGTGTCCTGAAAGCAATAATTGAATACTATAAATTTTTTTTCCTCATATGGCTTGTTCTTTCATTTCACTCAAGTCTCTGTTCAGGTATCACCTCGCCAGAGTCGTCTTCCCTGACCTACCCCACACATATGAAAAAGAACCCACACTCACCTCTGGTGGGTCTCTGGCCTCAGAACCATATTTTAATTTTCTTCACAGTACTTACTACCATCTGACACATTATACATTTTTCTGTCTTTCTTTAAATTTAATGTCCATCTAACTCCTCTAAAATATAAGATTTATTCTTTATTGCCTATTTTTGTTTACTAATATATCAGCAGTACCTAGAAAAGTGGCTGGAATGCCGATTTGTAGGGCCTCCTTACTACATTCCAAATTTCACATGCATTTGGATATGTTTCTTGGCTATCTATTATGTTCCACTGGTCCGTCTAGCCCACATGGAAGCATACTGTCTACCATGACTTTGTAGTACTAAGTCTTAATATCAGATATAATACATTTTTCTAAGACTATCTTGGCTATTCCCAGATAGTTCCTTTTCTACACCAATTTTAGAATTAGTTTTTTAAGACGTGAAAAATTTCAGAATTTTGATTCGAACTACATCGAAATGTGCAGATTAATGTGGGGAGAACTGACTTTTTTTTAACTTCATATTTTTCCACTATAAACAAGGTGTATATTATCATATAATCAGGTCTTAATGTGCTTCAGTGATTTGTAATTTTCAGAACATAATTGTGTGGGGTTTAAAGTTTTGTCTCTTTCATTCATAGCCTTTATTCCATTTCTTATTCTTGTCATATTCTATTAGCTAGAAACTATAAAATAATGTTGACAAAGTAAAGTTAGTGGTGGGAATCCTAGTCCTCCACTTGCTTTTAATGAGAATGCTTCTAAGTTTCACCATTAGAAATGTTATCTGCTGAGTATTTTTAATGAAAAACATTATCACAGGCTCGGCCCCTATAGCTTAAGCAGCTATGGTGCCAGTCACATACACCAGCACTGGCAGGTTTGAATCCAGCCTGGGCCTGTCAAACAACAATGATAACTATAACCAAAAAATAGCTGGGTGTTGTGGTGGGCGCCTGTAGTCCCAGCTACTTGGGAGGCTGAGGCAAGAGAATTGCTTAAGCCCAGGAATTAGAGGTTGCTGTGAGCTGTGATGCCACAGCATTCTACCCAGGGAGACAGCTTGAGGCGCTATCTCAAAAAAGAAAAAGAAAAACATAATCATAGTTAAGAAGTTTCCCTTCTACTCTTGATTTCCTTTAAAAAAAATTATGAGTTGTTATGTTTTTATGGATTCCTTCCAGCATGTATTAAAATGATTATATGGGGTTTTTCCTCATACATATGAATGCTGAAATTACATCAATAGATTTTTCAGATGTTGACTTTTTCTTCCATTCTTGGAATAGTTTGCTAGCTTTTTTTTAGGATTTCTACAATCACACTCATAAGTAAGATTAAGTCTATAATTTTATTTTCTTGTTCTGTTCTCATCAGGTCTTTTTGTCAACATTATACCAGCCTCAGAAAATAAATAGGCTGGTTGGTTTTTCATTTCCTCCTGTCTTTCCTTTCTTCTTTCCTTCCCTCTCCCTCTTTACTATTACTTTATTAAGCAATTACAAACTTTGAGAGGTGATAAGACTCACTTGTAAAATGGTTTCAGTCCATTTTTAGTTGGAGGAAAGGGCAGCGGGAAAACTATTACAAATTCTTTAATGGTTATTAGTTTACTCAGGTTTTGCACTTCTATTTGAGTTAATTTTGATAATATATATTCTCTCAGAAAACCATTTAGTTTTGGCTTTTTAAAAAATTTAAATGATGTTTGACATTTTTAGGAGTAATCACCACATATTACAAATGTAAGACAATCCCAGACATTTAACAAGGCTTTAATGGTTAAACAATTTTAATTTCTAGACTCTATTTAGGCTATTGAATATGTAAAATATCTCTACATGTGACATAAGATCATAAATACGAATAAAAAGAGAATTTTCCAATGGCTTCCTACTATACCTAGAACAAAATCAAAACTTCTTACAAAGTCTATAAGGCTCTCCAAGGTCTGCTCTCTTCTTTTTTCTTTAAACTCTTCTTTTATTCTTCCCTTTTCTAACCTCAACTGCACACCCTTCACTCTGTTCCTCAAACTTACGCATGTCTTTAAAATTGCTCTAATTCCCATGTAGCAGGCTCCACCCTCTCCCTCAGATCTTGGTTCAGACATCACTTCCCTCAAAAAATTGCCCCAGGAAATTCCCTTTCTTGTCCACCATATTTAATGTTGCTGCCACCATGTCCCCCTTAGCACAGTGGTTCTCAACCTTCCTAATGCCACGGCCCTTTAATACAGTTCCTGTGGATCGCAACCCACAGGTTGAGAACTGCTGCTCTAGCACATTATCTTATTTTATTTCTTCATATAATTTATCACTATTTCTAATTACTCATTCCATTATCTGCCTGCCTCACTAGAATATATGCTGTTCAAAACCAGAAACCTTTTCCCTTTTGTCACTATGCTCTTACACCTTGCAAGAGATTCAATAAATATTTGTTATATAAATGGAGAAACACATAAAACTTTGGTTAGTATCATTATACTGTAGATACCCAGTAGAATTTCCTTGTTACTTCTATACTAATATCAGTATGTGGTAAATATAAATTGTCGAGAGTGATCTGGTATTACTCATTATACACATATAATTCTTTAACTGAATTTAAAGCATATATTGTATTTTCCCCTTTGGGTATAACAAGACTTTGAAAAAACTATTGGACTTAAATGTTTTATTTCCCTAATGAAAGATAATTTCATAATTACCAAACCGAAAAAATCACTAAAAAGCTTAAGAGTTCACTTTTAGTTGTAGAAACTTAAAAATACCAGTATAAAATAAAAACAATCTGAAACCAACCTTTAAGATTACAACAAAATAGTACGAAATCAAATAACTTTTCTAAAGCTGACATTCTCAACACAGTCATTTAAACTCTCATCTTTCCAAAGAAAATGTGAAACCATTATTATGTTTTATTTGCTGAGAATATACAATATAGATGAACTGAAAGAAAAGCATAAATGTTTAATGAAAAATAAATAACAGGCCACATGATTATCAAGCTCACTTTAATACTCACAAGGATGTGAACTATAGTTTATCAAAGTGAAGATTCTTAGTCTGAAGCATGCGTTTTCATTGTGCTTTACTATGTATAAAGAAGTAACCATACCTGTTCTGATTTAAGTACACTGAGTTCCCTCTGAAGTTGATCATTTTCACTGGGTTCACTCGCCCACGGTGATGAGTCATCTGTTACTGATGGCAAATCATCCAAAAACAACTGTTCTTGCTTTTCTTTTCTCACAGTCATATTTTCAAAAGGCAGTTTATCTGTAGACGTTATTTCTGATTCTTCACCAAACCCTTTATGTATTTTAGAAACGGATCCTCCAGAATCACTGCTTGTGACAGTCACTACTCCATTTATTAAAGAGCTCGGCTGAACATCATGTACATTTACATTTTCTGCCCTGTTATTATGGTTGATTATGATTTCTAGCTCTCTACATCTTAATAGAACTTGTTCTTTCTCTTGCTTTAAAGATTTAACTTCTTCACTTAGAAGACTAATCTCACCGTGTTTTTGTTCCAATTGTTCAGAAAGATCAGACAGTCTCTTTGAGAGCTCTAATTTCTCTCGCTTGGTTACCTCAAGTTTTTCCATGAGTTCTGTTGTGTCTTTCTCTACAACCTCACCGGTTTCCCCTGGTTCTGCTGTAAAAGCCTTGTCATCAAACACAAAACGCCTCATTTTCACTGCAGTTGGATCTGTTTTTTGCAAATGAAGCTCTTCATTAAGTGCTTTAAGCTGACTTTTATACTCTAACTCTTGTTTATTTTTACTGTCTTCTAAGTCATCTTTTACTTTGAGAAGGCAAGTATATTCCTCCTGTAACTCCTGATAGTTAACTTCAAAGTTCTTTTCAGCAAATGAAAAAGTGTTCCTTTGCTTTTCAATCTCTTCATTTAGCTGAATACACTGTTGTTTGAGGTCCTCGTTTTCCTCTGTAAGTATTTTTATTTCTTTTTGCCAGTTACAGTCTTTGGGCATAGACTTACTGGAGTCTATGAAAATCAATCTTTCTTCTTGGTTAACAGGAGTATATATTTTCAACATCTCTTCAAGGGCTTTCTTTTCATCTTTAAGAATGCTATTTTCCATTTCAAGTTGTGCAAACTTTTCTTGAAGGTCATTCTCTTTCTCCTTCATTTGTTTCTCCAATAATTCTGTTTTAAGTTGTAATTCTTGAACTTCTTGTTCAAGTGTACCCTTTTCCTTTTCTTCTTGTCTGAGTATTTCAATTTCTTTTTGAAGTTCATTGATTTGAAGAGTCATTTCTTCTGACTTTGAATTCACAAGGGACTGCTGTAAATCTTTTAGCTTTGATATTTCCAAAATTAATTGATTTTGCTTAGTTATCAAATTATCTTTTTCAAACTGCATGGTTTCTATCTTTTGACTCATTTCATTCTGTAAGCCATCTATCTGCTGTTTATAGTGAATGCCTAAGTTATCCTTAAGTTTTTCAATATTTACTTGATGTTCAATTTCTAAATCTTCCTTCAATTTGGAAAGTTCTTCTTCATGACTAAATAGAAGCTGTGTTCTCAGACGCTCTAATTCAGCTTCTTGTGATTCAGCCATTCTGTCTAATACAGCATTCTTTTCTTTTTCTAACATTTCAAGTTTTATCTTGTAATTTGTGACCTCTGCTTCATGTTTTAATTCTAGTTCCTTCCTGGCTTCAGAGGCAGAAACGATTTCGGCTTTCAAATCTTCCACTGTACTAAGGGCCTTACGTGCTTCATTCAGTTTACTTTCTTGTTCAGCTATTGTCTGTCTACCTCTCTGAATTTGGTCCCTTGAAAAACTCAGTTCTTCAAAAAGGTCTTCCAGCTGTCTCTGTAAATCGGACTTTTCTCTCAAAACTACTCTGAGTTCTTCTTTAAGTTTTTCCTTTTGAGAGTTAGTATCTTGCAATTTTACATTCAGTTCATTTATTGCCACATTCATTAACTTTATCTGATCTTCATTAACTGTAATATGTGGATAAGACCGCAAAGCATTCTCCATTTCTCCCTTATGTTGTGTTTTCAGCTCCTCTATTTGTGACATATGTTGTTTTATTAATTCTTGTTTCATTTGCACTATCTGCTGCCCATACATCTCATCCAGCTCTGCCCGGAGTTGTTCTAACTTTCTTTGTGTTTCCTGTTCCATCCTTTGTACTATGTCAGTTTCAAATTGACTATCTTTATGATTTCTCTTCTGAAGTTCTTCCACTGTCCCCATTAACTGTTTTACTTCCTCAGAACACTGTCTTTCTTTTTGCTTACAATTGGTCAGCTCTAATTTCATGTTTTTTATCTCTTGGTTCTTTTGTACAACTTGCTCTTGTAATTCTCCTAGTAATTTATCAGTAGCTGTTACTTTATCCTTTAGCTCAAGAGTTTTTTTTTCTTCTTCTGTTATTTTTGTATTTAATTCTTCAATGATTGCCTCTTTTTCCTGTATTTCTTTTTTATTTGAGTTTTCCACTTTTTTATCTTGTTCCTTTAGGGGGAAAAAAAAAAAGAAAATGTAAGAAGGGCATTTTAAGCTCCTGGCAACTTCTACCACTTAATCTTATTACTAAACAAATGATAGAAGCCCTCATTTTCCATAATTCTATAAAAATTGTCAGGCCTCTCCCTCAATTTTTCCCATGATAATAATGAAACCCAGAACTTGTGTACTCACACCACTTGTGAGCAAACACTATAGCAATTTCTGTCTTCTGGGAAGAATTTTCTCTTACATGACTATGATTAAAATTTTTATTTAAAAATTCAGTCTGACTTACATGTTTCTAAACCATTACATTCTCATTTTTCTTACTAGCTGATCAACATTCTAAGTCTTTAGTATTTTCCGTTTTTGAGACAGAATCCCACTCTGTCACCTTGGTTAGAGCATAGTGCACTGGCATCATCATAGTTCACTGCAAGCGCAAAATCCTGGGCTCAAGTGACATCCTCTTGCTTCAGCCTCCAAAGGAGCTGAGACTACAGGTGTAAAGTGCTACACCAAACTAACGTTTTTGAGTTTTAATAAAGACAGGGTCGCACTCTTGCTCAGGCTGGTCCCAAATTCTTGACCATGAGCATTCTTCCTGCCTCAGCCTTCCCTGAAAGCTAGGATTCCAGTGTGTTGTCACCACCCCTGGCCCAGTATTTTCTATAACTAGTAAAAGTACTACATACTATATATCTAGACACTTCAGAAAGATGTCTTAAAAATAAATCAAGTTTCCTTCCATGTGTTCTGGTGATGTGAACATTTTTCATGGTCAAGTGTTATAAAAAGAGAAAAACAACAACAGCAAGTATAGATTTCTATAGGTTTGCCTTAACTTCAGTTGGGGCTCTTAAGTAAAAAAAAAGAAAAAAAAATTAGGGGTATGTAATAATTAAGTGACTGAATTTCAAGTGATATCTAAGATAGCTATTCAAATTGTGGATATTAATTCTTATTTGACACCCTATTTTAGAATTGAGATAAGGCTAAACCCAGGCCGTGGCCAAGGCATAACTGTTATCATAATTATTTCAATATAGTCAGGGCTCAAAGTTCTGGCTTAGTTACTTAATTGCCTCTGTAGTCCCCAAAACAAATAAATATAATTCCACAGAATGGATCAGATATAAGTAGATAAGTAAAATTACTTTAAGGAGAGAGAAATCCCACTCAAGAAGAACTTGAAAGCACCTTAAATAATATGTAACTTTTTTTTTTTTTT